TTGTTTTTACAAGGGACAAACTTAAAACAACACAATAAAGGCAGGGATAAAAATTAAGTAATAACAAAATAGAAAGTAGAAATTGCAAAACAAAGAACAGAATCAAGGGGAAAAACATTAAAAAGACACTTGGCATAGTTTATAACTGTAAGTGACACAATTAATAATATGTAACCATAAACTTTAAAATAAGCAATAAGAGAAACTAAATATGTTAAGCAAATTTTGTTAGACATACCAAGAGTAATTATTTTAAAAATTGTAGGAAAGTTAAACTTATCTCTCAGAAATGGAAAGCTAAGTAAAAGAAAAATAATAATAAGGACATAGAGGATATGAATAACATTTTACACTGTTGATTTTATATAGTTGTTTTTTAAAAATGAAATCTAGCACTTACTATATGCCAAGCAGTATTTTAAATGCTTTTAAGTATGAACTCATTTAATCCTCATAATAATCTCATGAGACAAAAATTTTACAGATTGAGAAACCAAGACATGGAAAAATGAAATAACTTGCTTGAAGTCACACAGCCAAGTAAATGGCAGGACTGCATTTGGCTCCACAGTTCATGCTTTTAATTCCTACACTCTAAGTGCATACATTGACCTTTGTACTCTATGGTAAAGACTATTTGGGCTCTCTATATTTGGTTTTTATCTTCTTCTTGAGCTTATGGGAAGATTATGTTTAACAACCCTCTTGTAGTAAGGAAGAGTGAAGTGGTTAGTGATAGCCAATGAGTTAAATGTCAAAGCATTTAAAAGCTGGTATTTCATCTCAAAACTCTCTTCTTTTTTGGTGACAGCCATGGATTAAGATGGCAGAGCCACGAGATGGAAATTTCCTGCACACAGAGAACCACATGGAGAGGAGTTGCCCAGGAGAGTATGTTGAACTTAGGGTGAAATTGAAATAAGCCAATGTATGTTGAAACAACCCAGTGTATGTTGAACTTAGGGTGAAAGTGAAATTAGCCTTTATTATGTTAACATAATAAAGGAGAATTTGTCATTGCAAGTGTGTTTGCTCTGTCCTGATTGTGACATACCCCAAAATGGAAATGTTACGTTCTTTTCAAATTAAATGGAACATCCAGATAATTAGATGATGTCATAAGTCACAAATAACTTTTCCAGTCATCCAGAAGCTCCTGTATATGCTCTTTCTCAATTACGGCTCTTGCCTTTCCCCAAAACAAACCACTATCCTGCTTTTTATAAAAGTCACTTATTTTTAAAAAGTGCCATTATTTTTTTCAGGCGCATTTTCAGATGATATGATTATACACCTGGGAAGTCAAGAGACTTACTTGACTGGCCTAATAGAACCAATGAGTTCAGCAAGATGGACTCTGCTCCTACAATCACTCTTTTCTTATTTCTTCTGCCCTACTAGACCATCCTCTTTCTAGGTTGCTTACTTTAAAAAAACAAAAACAAACCAAAAAACCCTTCCCTTTATCACACATTTCTCTCCATTTTTGTGCTCCCCTTTACGATGAAACTCCCGAAAGATCTCTGTGACCTAATTTCATCTCTGCCCCTATGAACTGGATTCCCTCCACCCTACACCACTGAGATTGCTCATCAAGGATCCCAGTGCTGTCTCTGATGCTGAACTTGTCTGTCCTCAACTTGAAGTGGCATTCAAGGTAACTGATGAATCCTTCCTTCTTAAAGCATGTTCTTCTCTCGGTTTCTGTAACATTACATTCACCTTAGTTTTCTCCCTCCTTGGTGTCCACTGTGAAGAATCTTTGAAACTTGATGTGTTCCAGCGTCCAGTACTGGCCTCTTTCTTGTCTCTCTGTATATTCTCTCTGTAGGAAATTTCATCCAGTCTCTCTAGCTCTGTCACTCAGGTTGGGGTGTAGTAGCATAATTATGGCTCACTGCAGCCTCAAACTCCTGGGCTCCAGTGGTCTTCCCACCTCAGCCTCCAGAGTACCTGGGACTATGATGCCTCCTTTTAAAATTTTGTATAGAGACAGAGTCTTACTTTGTTGACTAGACTGGTCTTGAACTTCTGGGCTCAGATAATCCTCCCACCTCAGCCTCCCAAAGTACTGGGATTATGGGCATGACCCACCCTGGCTGGCCTATATACTATCTTTATAATATGATCGTTATGCCAGTGACTTCTACATTTATATCTGCAGCCTCTTTCTGAATTTTAGAGCTCTATTTAATACCTACATGACATCTTCATTTGGATAGCTAGGAGGCATCTCAAATTTAACAAGTCCAAAAACAAACTTGATTTTCTCCTCCCTGCAAAGCCTGCTCTTCATCTTCCCAGTCCTCATCTTTGTAAGTGGAACGGCAACCTACCCAATTGCCAAGTAAAAAGCCTAGGAGTCATTCTTGACCCCTTTCCCTTACCATCCCCTTATCCCGGCATCAGCTGAATCCTAGTGACTCCATCTCCCAAGCATGTGCTCAGTTGGTCCTCCGTTCTCCTCATCTCCACTCTCCACTTGCACTTAGCCAAGAGGCCGAGAAGTGATTCCTCATCTCTACTCTACCTCTGCATCCATCACTGTGTCTCAGCCAGAACCCCTCAGTAGCCTTTCGGCCCATCTCCTGCTTCCACACTTACTCCTTGCCTCACAACTAATCTCCATCTGTCTGGCTTAGAACTTGGGAGAAAGAGAAGGGTATGATTTTGGGACCCCCTTGAACTCCAGCCTAAAAGCTTGATTTGACTTTATAAAAACACATTTTAAAAGTTTTGAGATACAAGACATCTGAAATGACGTTAAAGGCAAATGAAAGGCTTGGATGACAGCACTGCATATTGCAGACAGTGCACATCCCTATATTGAGCATTGAGCAGTGAAATCACACGTGAACGAATGTCTGAAAAGATGCTTGGCTCTGCTAATAATTAGAAAAATACTAATTGAAAAATCAGACACTTATTTGTGCTATTGAGATTGTCTAACATTAAGGCAATTAAGAACATCCTCTGTTGACAAGGACGAGGATGTTTTATTTTCTTTTGAATAGGAATGGAGAAAGGAGTCTCTTATAATATACCGTGTTACATATACGGCCCTTTGCGGTAGGAGCTAATCGACTGACTGCTCAACCAATGAATACCTATTTCGGTTTTTTTGCTTCTGTGTCGTATTGTTCACAATAGCGCGTTACGTGATTTTTTGCTAATGTAGAATGCTTCTCTGCTTGCAGCTTAAAATATTTTTAACTTAGAAGGACACTGAACACTTCTCTTCTAAAAAGTTAAACTGTTGCTCTGCCTCAAGGAACAGGGGAAGGCACCAAGAGCATAATGAGGCAGGACTGGGCTATTAACAGCTCAGAGGCACAGAGAGGTGTGGGAGGTGGGGGATTCCTGCTTTGGTCTCCAACAGGCGAGACGCATTGCAGTCCTGTATTAGATCATTATGTCGATAATAGACGTCATCTTGGTTTGGAGGGAATGTCCACCTCTGGATTGTTCAATGTTAGTCAGACTTCTGATGGCCTAACATTCACTTAATTAAAACACCAGTCAGATGCACGCAGAGATTGAGGCGTGCGAGTCTCGGAGCGCAGGAGGGCGCGACTGCCAGCAGCCTGCCGGGCTCAGGTGCGTCCTTAGGCCCGGAAACGCGGCAGAATGACACTCTGCCTTTCGTGAGAAAAGGGTACCGTTGGCGTTAGCTCATCAGAGCGTTGCTTTACAAACAAAATGCATATATGCATTTGATTTGTGTGCTCCCCCGAGTCTGCCAGGAGGACGCCCGCCCGCCGGCCCTCCCTTCTCACTGGCCGCTGCCCGGCCGCCCCCGGCGCCCATTGGCTCGCTCCGACGCCCGCTTCCATAAGAGGCCCGCAGCGCAGCGCCGGACCGCCGGCAGACCCAGCTTGCAGCCAGCGGCGCTCGAGGTGAGTGAGGCGGCCCTTTCCGCGGGCACCCGGGACCACTGTCGAGGCTTTGGCGGCGTCGGCAGGCGCGGGGCTGGGCAGAGTCACCCTCCTGGGAGGTAAATTGGTGGTCTTGCGGAGTCAGATTTGGGAGGTCGGATTTGTGCCCCTGTGGGCACTTACTCTTCTTTCCTTCTCCGCTCTTTGTGGAGAGAAGACACTTTTTGAGGGCCTCCGGTGTGCCAGGAACAGACTCTTTGCACAAAATCAGATTTCACCTTCATGGCAAACGCTGATAGATCTTTCTTGAGTCTCCAGATGAGGAAATAGGGGTTCAGAGTTGAACCCAAGTCTGTGTGACTTCTCTACGTTGGCAGAAACACAAACATTTTCTTCCTTCTCTTCCTCTCCATCAAGGGGCAATATCCCTTTTTGGTCTTCTCCTCCCATAAAGGGAAGCCTCCCTTAGACAGCCCCCCACCAAAGAAGAGGGAGTTTCAGATGCAGAGCTTCTCAGCATGGCACTTACCCTCATCACCACCATCCCAACAGACGGCGAGGAGCTTGTTGCAAGGTCACAACGGGCAAAAAGGACTAAGTCCTTGTGGTCCTTAACTAGAGCCAGTTAAGAGTCCAGGTAAACTTAACCTTGCATTTGGCTTTTGATTTTCAGAGGTTTAACATGAACTCACCGCTGATGTCCCACTCTACGTGGCTTACGGGGAAAAAGACTAGAGTTGAACTTGCTAACACAGGAAAAGTTTGTGCCTTTTCATTTTTTTTTATAAAAGGGGGGGAGTGGAATTCTAATATCAATATTTCTGTAAAGTTATAATCTGTGGTTTACATATGCTATCACTGAGGTCCATTTGTGCATGTATTATTAGATTATCTTCAGGTAGAGATGTGTCTTCTATTTCCATTTCTCTGCCAGTGCCTTTATTTCCTGGAATACTGTTTTTCATGGGTAGTGTTTTCTTTTGTATTTCATCTCCACTTTCATCCTCATTCCCACTCCTTATTTAGAAAAGAAAATCAAGACTCTCTAGAGGATTATTTCCCTCTGAAAGACTCCTCCTTGCAGTTTTTAGGTCTGTCTTCAAACAACATCCCTGCTTTCAGAAGACTAATTCAGTAGTGCCTTGTGCTTCCTAGGTCAGGTAAATGTAAATTACACTTGTTTTACTGATTAAACTAAGGGGAGAAAAGAGTTGATCATTGTATACACGTTGACCTCTACTTTACCAAGTGTCAGGTCTGTTGATCTTCTGAGTGTCTTCTTGGTATTTTTTTCCTTATTTCCAGTGGTGTGTCCTGCACAGCAGTGCATCCTTAGTCAGGTCAGGAAACACAGTAGGAGAATGACTGTCTGTCTTTCATGAGAAAATAAAATATGTATGTATTGATGAGACACCAGTTCAAACAAGTGTGACCTATTTTATCTTTCCTGGTTAGTATTGTGGGTTTTTTTCCATGAAAGAGTAGGAGGGGATAGGTAGGTTGAAGGGGGAAAGGGAAATATAACAAGACAAAATATTGAGGTCCTGAAAAGGGTTTGAGGGTAATTGAGTAGAGGAAAAAAGAACTGATGCCTTATAAGGCTTGTCAACCAGGTGAAGCTACGACCAAGTTTTAGTAGTGATCAAAGATCTATGTCCTGCCAGATTATTTTGAGGTGGGGGGAACAAAAATGGGGGTGAGAATTTTCTTCTAGTTTCTTAGCAGAAGTTCCTGTTGAGAACCTTCATTCTTACCTTGACTTAAACAAGGAGGAGTGTTTCCATACCTTTCTTTCTTTTTTTTTTTTTTTTTGAAATAGAGTCTTGCTCTGTTGCCCAGGCTGGAGTGCGGTTGCACAATCTTGGCTCACTCCAACCTCCATCTCCTGGGTTCAAGAAATTCTCCCTGCCTCACCCTCTGGAGTAACTGGGATTACAGGCACACACAATTACGCCTGGCTAATTTTTGTATTTTTAGTAGAGACGGGGTTTCCCCATGTTAGCTAAGCTGGTCCGGAAGTCCTGACCTCAGGTGATCTGCCCACCTTGGCCTTCCAAAGTGCTGGGATTACAGGTGTGAGCCACTCACATCTTCATATAATAATGTATGTCTTTAAATAAATCAAAATAATATCAATTCCTTGCATATCATAACTTTCAGTTAATGTATCCTTCACCCTCCTCTCCCCACACACACTAAGATGTTGGCACAAAACTTGATCCATGCCAGAATCAGGTAAAGGAAAGGATTATGAACCCCAAATGGATGGAGCCATGACTGTTAGTATAATAGCAATGTCCAGGAAAGCTTAGGGGCCAGTATTGAAAATTGAAGGAAATCCTCTTTTTTTTTTTTTTTTTTTTTTAAGAGACAGGATTTCCCTCTGTCACCTAGGCTGGAATGCACTTGCTGATCTTGGCTCCCTGCAATCTCCATCTCCTGGGTTCAAACGATTCTCATGCCTCAGGCTCCCAAGTAGCTGGGATTACAGGCATGTGTCACCATGCCTGGCTAATTTTTTAATTTTTAGTAGAGACATGGTTTCACCATGTTAGCCAGGCTGGTCTAGAACTCCTGACCTCAAGTGATCCACCCACTTTGGCTTTCCAATGCACTGGGATTATAGGCATGAGCCACTGCACCCAGTCTCATATTGTTTTACATGAAGAGTTTTATGCCAAGCTCCAAGAGACTGTTGAAATACAAATTATCAGGAGATCTAGAGTTCTGTTAATGTTACCACTGACTGGAAAAAATCAGTGGTAGCTTTTCTTTACTCTTTTCTGATCCTTGCTTCCACTTCTTAGAGTTGACTTACATGATGAATCTAGCGGTTGGCCAGGAAATAGCTTATATTTGCAGAATCCTCTTTCTTTTGCATGTCATGGTTATGGTATCAGGGAACATGAGGACTCAGTAAATATAGGCTAACTCAGTACATTTTACTTTGGGGTCTTTGTTTATTTGCAAAAAAAAAAAAAACTGCTGAATTTTTCACTTGAGATTTGGAATTTAATACACTTTAGGGGTTTTATAATAAATTAATGAAACTGAAATCACCTTGATACAAAACAATACTGACATTTTATATCATAAAGCAACTTTTCCACATGCTTGCTATTATAAGAAATATATTAATCATCTTGTAAAATGCGTAGTTCCCAGGGCAAGAAAAATTCTTAGCTAGAGGTGTTTAGAATGTCTATTTCAACATTTTCTCTTTTTTTGAAGGCTGGAAAATTTGGGATGTATTCCCTATTATTTGAGATAATGCTTATTGAGTAATTAGATTAGCAACTTTTCTAAGAGTTTTATATAAATTATATCTATTTAATCCTCCTTGTAACAATAAGTTTATATATATTTAATCCTCCTTATAATCATGAGTGGTGTTAATTATCCTCCCTCCAAGTTTGCAGATAAAGAGATTGATGCCCATAAAGATTATAACTTGCCTAGATGGGTTTGCAGAAAGATTTATTACTAGCAATTTGTTAGATTAGTCTGCATCTCTCTTGTTGTTTGCATTTGCACACCATAGGACAATGCCACCCATACGCTATGTTTAATAAGAAAAGTCAATCTTTGAATGGTAATTGAATGGGTAAGAAATATTTCTGAAGGTTTTCACATCCCTAAAAGCATTTTGAGAATGCTTATCCAAGACCATCCCTGAATTTTTATCCCCAGAGCTACCAATTCAGAATTTTCTGTGTATACTTAAGTTTACCTTAAGAAATGGTCATTTCCTTTGAAGTGGAAAAAATCTCTTAAGATCTCTTGCTTCTCATCCATAACTCCTTTCTCAGCAGAGACTCATGGATGGACTAAAAGCCATCTTCAGTCGTCTTTAGAAGCACATGTGATATTGATCAAAGGGGTAGGAGAGGTGGGAAAGTGAGGCGTGGTTGAGTATACTCCTTGAGTATCATGGCTGAGATCTCAGTGTTCCTCTCTTCTGCTTATTTATACTTAATGAGAAGTCTATCTTCCTTCTTTGCCTCTCCCATGAATAAGTGTGTGAATTCTTTGGAGGAAAATTTTCTTGTTTTTAAATCTATACTGCCCTAACATTGACTGTGGCACTTTATACATGTGAATGTGCTTGGGTTGAAATTGTATTCATTTTACCATTAGTAATTATTTTAATCACAGAAAAATCTACATAATTATTCAGTTTAACCAGCCATTTCGTTTTATAGCATTTGAAATAGAGATTGTTTTAGTTCTAGAGAATAATTTGGCATAATTAAAAAATCTTGGTAGTTTTGGGAACTTGAACCCAATAAATTCACAAATGTTTATTAAATTTTGAATTATATATCTCTAACTCTTCTTGGTAGCTGAAATAGCCTAGTTTCTTCTGTGAGGAAACTATCAGAATATCATACTACATTATGGGGTTTTAAAAGGAGTGGGAATTTTGGATATTATGAATTCCAGTAGCTGTTTGGTAACTTATCTATATTAGAAAGGTTAAGTAGCATGCCTGAGGTCGTACACTGATAAACATCAGGCCAATGATGAGATATATCTGATTTCACATTCCATGTATTTCCTTATAATGTTCTGCAGTGTAAATAGGTGGTTGAGAAGATACCATAGTAGATATCTGTTTCATCTTCTGAGAAGCAGAACTGGAATTCTCCTGTTGAGCACTTACCCATCTAGTAAACATATGTCTAGAGCTGGCCAGGCCTTTGGTTTACAAAATAAGTAGAAAGCCTTGTCCCTACTCTGGAGGAGCTTACTGCTTTGTTAGAAGATAAGACATGTCCTAATAAAACACTTGGGGAAACCATTTGAGACCTGGTATAATGAAGTGCTAAGATTGTGGGCAGGGTGGAGAGAAGCCTTAAAATGTTTATATTTTTGACCCATAATTCTAACTTCATAAATCTGTCTTAAAAAATATAGATCAGTCAGGCAGAACATGAATATTTATTGAGTCTTTACTATGTGTCAGTTACCACACCAGACACCAGTAGGCCTTTTTGACCACTTAAGGCTATAATAGTTGGGAAGACTTCAAGAAACCAGCAGGCTTGAGTCATGCCCTAAAAGAAAGACTGGTTTAGAAAAAAAGGAAAGGGAGCTACTAACATGTATTTTATGCTTATTCTGTTCTAGGCAGTGTGTCAGGCAAAGTTTTATCTTATTTTGGTCTCATTAGATTCTTGCAAAGTTTATAAAACCTTGCATCCCAAGGTTTTATAAATGGTTAAGAAACTGAAGCTTCTAGAAGTAAATGAGCCATTAGTTATCAAATATTGTCTGCATTATGCAACTTCTGTTTTAGCCCTTTGCCTTTGTTTTCAGACTTTTAGTTTTAGAGAATTACTCCAAATTCATAATGATTGAAGACAATAAGGAGAACAAAGACCACTCCTTAGAAAGGGGAAGAGCAAGTCTCATTTTTTCCTTAAAGAATGAAGTTGGTGGACTTATAAAAGCCTTGAAAATCTTTCAGGTAAGCATTTTCCATATTTTTGCACAAAATTGTTTTAGAAATGAATCTCTAAAACTATATTTAAAATATAGGGCAACATAGCAAGACCCCATCTCTAAAAAAACAAACAAATAAAAAAATTAAGCTGGGTGTGGTAGTGGACACCTGTAGTCCCAGCTACCTGGGAGGCTGGTGTAGGATTGCTTGAGTCCAGGGGTCCAAGGTTATGGTGAGTGAGCTATGATCACACCACTGAACTCTAGCCTGGGTAACAGAGATTCTCTCTCTCTCTCTCTCTCTCTCTCTGTCTCTCATTCTCTCTCTGTGAATATGTGTGTGTATATATAAACACACACACACACACACACACACACACACATATATATGGCAACACAGCAAGACCCCATCTCTAAATATATAAATTATTGTAAATTCTTCAGAGATGTAAATACAAACATTTGTTAATAACTTCAATTTCTAAAATATTGTTGAATTCTAACAAGGGATACGAACAATTTACAGAAGAGGAGATATAAATAGCTACTTTAAGGAAAGGTGGGGAAAAGATTCACTTTACAAATTTTAGAGAAGCAAATTTTAATTTTATTTTAATAAAATATTAAAATTTTATTGCTATTTAATCATATATTATTAATTATATGCTTGAGATTTGATGATATAGTCATAGAATATTTAATAACACTATTTTCATGTAGCAAAGATTTTATAATGACACTGTCTCCTATTGTCAGAGCTTCATTGCATTGGAGGTGCATGACCCTCCAATGCACCTTTGGCAGGAGGGTAAATTTGTGTATCACGTAGGGAAACTATCTGGGTATATGGATTATAAGCCTTAAAATGTTCATATTTTTGACCCATAATTCTAATTTCATAAGTCTGTCTGAAAAAAGATGGATCAGTCAGGCAGAACATGAATATTTATTGAGTCCTTACTATGTGTCAGGTACCACACCAGACACTAAGGATGTGGAGCTGAACAAAGTAAACACAGTGCCTTGCCTCGCAGAGTATATAATCTAGTGGGGAAGGCAACTTTAAACAAACAGCTGTAGTATGTGAATAATTACTATGTGCAAAGTGACATGAAACAGAAGTACCGGATACTGTAACAGCACTGAACTGGGCGGGACCTGAGTTTAAGGGCTCAGGGACACACAAAGATTTATTGTTTATAGAAATTAAAATTTATAAACAATCTTCTTGTCCTAATATAGGGGATGTTGAATTCTGCTAGCGGAACACCACTGTGGTTAAGCTCTGGTCTCTGGAGACAGGCCACCTGAATCTAGATCTTTGCTCTGTCACTTATCATCTGGGTGACCACGGGCAAATTGATTAATCTCTTCACACTTCAGGCTTTATGTTCATAAAATGAGAACTCTACCTACCTCATAGGGTCATTGTGAGCATCAGTAGAGTTAATATCTCTAAAATGCTTAGGAAGGTAGAGTTCAAAGTAAGTGATCAATAGATGTTAGCTATGTTAATAATCATATGACATGCTATTATACAGCTGTTTGCAAAGAATATTTCAAAGAATTAAAAATCTTAAATATAGATAGCTTAGAAGAGCTTGTGATGAAAAGCATCAGTTTTTTTACCCAATACATACCATATTCTCAGTCCCTAGAGGCAACCACCTTTTTTTTTTTTTTTTTTTTTCTGTGACAGGATCTCACTCTGTGGCCCAGGCTGGAGTGCAGTGGCATGACCTTGGCTTACTGCAACCTCCGCCTCCCAGTTCAAGCAATTCTTCTGCCTCAGCCACCCAAGTAGCTGGGATTACAGGCACTTGCCACCACGCCTGGCTAATTCTTGTATTTTTAGTAGAGATGGGGTTTCATCATGTTAGTCAGACTGGTCTCAAACTCCTAACCTTGTGATCCGCCCGCCTCGGCCTCCCAAAGCACTGGGATTACAGGCGTAGCCACCGCGACCGGCCGAGGCAAACTCTTTTAACTATTTCTGGACTTTAGGATTTTTTTTGGTGGTGAGTTTATGAAATTTAAACATTGCTCTTACATGCCTTTTTGAGTTATCAACTTCACACTATATTCATTTACTTTGTATTATGAGCAATGATACTGATACCACCTTTCTCCCTTCCCTCTCCCAGTCCTTTGAAATTTAGTAATTATATTATTACTTCTAGCAATTCTATTGATTACCTTTGGGTCTTTAAATAAAATACCTGTATGTCTTCTTCCATCAGCTTTCCTTTTTAATTTGTAATCAAAGGATAATTGGGCATAGCTTAAAAACAACTCAACCCCTAGTATGAAACATATTTTTGAAAAGCAGTCTTTTGCTCCATCTCTTTTAATTTCTAAGTTCCATTTAATTTTTTTGCAACCTTATGTCCAGAAGCTTGAGTTAATCACACTCATTAAGCCACATCTACACTATCGTTGTTGATTTGTGCAACCTCATCCTATTTTATTACATTCTTCAATTCTATCTTCATTTCTCTCTTCTGATAGAGAGCTGCTCTCATATGTTTGATATATACACTGAATTACTTTTATTTGCACTTTAGGATATATAGTTTTTGTGTGTGCATATATTAGTAATTTATATAAATCATATTGTGCTATAAAGATTCCTTTTCCCAGCCAAACTGTGTTTTTAAGACCTACGCACACTGCTGTGTGAACATCTCATTCATTCTTCTAACTGCTACATGGTGTTCCAGGTGTGTCTCCATCCATTTTACTTATCCCTGCCTAGCAGAGGCAACCATTTCACTTTTAACTATTTTTTCAATATTTACTTCCACACTTATAAATTATGTACTTATTCTGCTTCTACTTCTTGATTTTTAAAATTATAGGTAATTATCTATTGATTTTCAACAACAAAGTAAAGATTTAGGTTTCTTGGCACAACTCCCCTTCTGATGGCCTCTTTAGCTTCCTTTCCACTCATTTTCCCAATGTATTTATGTTCCAGTCTTTGGCTGTGTCAATCTTCAGTGTTCTTATTATTAAGATTAGGTAAATGTTGTTTGAAGAAGAGCCATTGTAGCCACCATTGTGACTCTTCCTTTCTTGTGCAACAGGATTACAGCACAGTGTTTTAAGCACATGGACTGTGGAGCTGGATAGCCTAGCTTTGAATTCCTCCTCTGACACTTGCCACCTGTTGCTTCTGGGCAAACAGCTTAACCTCACTATGCTTCTGTTTCTGTAATTGAAATGTCTGATAGGGAATGTGTCACTTACTACTTCTACTTTATTTGAATTTTCCAGATTATATTTTTCTTCCAGATGAATTTAGAAATTATTTAATTACATTTCCTCACCAAATTCCATTGAGATTTCACTTTAGGAAGAATTGACATTTTTACATCTTTTTTTTTCTCCAGAAACATAGTTTAGCTTTATATTATTGAAGTCATCATTTAGAAAATATTTACAAATGCATTATTACTGTTAACATTTATAAGCAATAGAGGAAATGAAACTCTTCTTCACACCTGATCAATCCCAGTATATTTTGGAACTGACTTCTATTGATTTTATGATAAATTCTATATTTCCAGATAAACCCTGCCTATTTTAATTTCCTAACATCCTCTATCACTCAATCCTCTTTCTTGCTGGCTCATGATCCCTGATAATTTTTTTTTTTTTTTTTTGAGAAAGGGTATCACTCTGTTGTCCAGGCTGGAGTGCAGTGGCTCAATCATGGCTCACTGTAGCCTTCACCTCCCGGTCTCAACTGACCCTCCCACCTCAGTATCCCAAGTAGCTGGGGCTACCGATGTGCTCCACTATGCCTGGCTAATTTGTTATTTTTTGTAGAGATGGGTTCTTGCTATGTGGCCCGGGCTGGTCTTCAACTCCTGGGCCCAAGTGATTCTTCCACCTTGGCCTCCCAAAGTGTTGGAATTACAGGCATGAGCCACTATGCCTAGCCTATTCTGCCTATTCTTTAAGATTCATTTCAGTTCCCACCTGCTCAATGAAATTTTCTACTCTCTCTTAAGTTGTGATTCTTTTCCCTTTGCTAAGAATCTGCATCTAAACACTCTCTACTTTATTTTCTTAATTTTTCATGTGTGAACCAACTAGATTATAAATTCCTTTATGTCTTCCCTTTGTTTTCTATGTAGCCCTTACCTAGTTACACAGGTGTTCATTAAGTGATTTTAGGATGCACTGGTTAGTATTGGAGACTATCTGCTCTAATATTCTCATTTTCTTCGATGAAAAAACTATTGGGTTATTGGTTCTCATGTTTCATTATCATGTCCCTAGCACTCTTCCTCAGTTACCCAAATTGGTGAGAGAACATACCCTCATCCCACAGTTCTACACACAGTACCTCCATCTTCAGCTGACTTAGAAGAGGTCAGAAGAGGAGATTTGGTTCAGCTGTTACTAAGATTGTAGCTTAAGAGATTTGAGGTATTAAACTCTGTGCTCAATCTGTTCATCTAATTTTATTAAATGGATTTTTGCAAAGGAAACTCTTCTTTGTCCAAGATTAACATTGGTATCACTTTTTAAAATCTAGCTTTTAGTTATGAGAATTTTCAAAAGATTCTTCTTAGCCAGGAAACTTAATAATATTTTGATTTGAATTCTGATTAGTTCTGACAATCTGAAGGACCTCTAGTATGTGTTATTTTATTGCTTTCTGGAGGACGGGATGAATTTTGAAAACTTTTTTGACTAGTACCTAATTTTTAAGAGGAATTATTTTGTCATTGGCAGCACTAAAAACAGCTTTTTTCCCTTTGGCTATTCTGAGAAGTGTGAATTTGATTTTTAGTGGTAATGAAAGTAACCTGCTCAAAGACTATTAACATTTGAGGCAGTTACATGCAATCTTTACCCTGTGCTTTACACAGGAGAAGCATGTGAATCTGTTACACATTGAGTCCCGAAAATCAAGAAGAAGAAACTCAGAATTTGAGATTTTTGTTGACTGTGACATCAACAGAGAACAACTGAATGATATTTTTCATCTGCTGAAGTCTCATACCAATGTTCTCTCTGTGAATCCACCAGATAATTTTACTGTGAAGGAAGATGGTAAGTTTGAAAGGTGAAAATACTACTTAGAAGATGAAATACCAAATATGTGTCCAATCTTATATTTATCTTGAAGATATGAGAATAATAAAACAGTCTCTCAAAATTGCTTATAGGCTGGTAGTGAAAGGAACACAAAATATAGTTGCTCAAGATACTGAAGAAAAATTATAAAGCAACATTTGATCTAGTACAAGAGAAATGAAAAAGAAAATCTTGAGTATAAGAAACACCTGGGAGTGGTGGCTTATCCCTATAATCCCTGCACTTTGGGAAGCCGAGGCAGGCAGATCACTTGAGTCCAGGAGTTCAAGACCAGCCTGGGCAACATGGAGAGACCCAGTCTCTACAAAAAATACAAAAATTAGCCAGGTGTGGTGGCATGCACCTGTGGTCCCAGCTACTCTGGAGGCTGAGGTGGGAGGATCACCTGAGCCTAGGAGGTTGAAGCTGGAGAGCCAAGATGGTGTCACTGCACTCCAGTCTGGGTAACAGAGCAAGACTCAGAAAAAGAAAGAAAGAAGGAAGGAAGGAAGGAAGGAAAGAAGGAAGGAAGGAGAATTCAGCATAATCAGAAATTGATTATCTCTCAGTTTCCAAATAATCAACATTTCTTGATTTGACAAACCTTGAATTCACAATCTCTGAGCACTTAGTAAGTCTCATAAGATTTGGCATCTAGCAGATAGTAAATGAATATTTAAATTTGCTGTGAATGTTGACAGTTGCTGACAACTATGAAATGAGACACACAATATGTATAGCAGGGGACTCGTCCGTGACCTGTTAGGAAGCAGGCTGCACAGCAGGAGGTGAACATCAGGCCAGTAAGCCTTACCACCTGAGCTCCATCTGGGAGAATGCACCCTATTGTGAACTGCTCGTGCAAGGGATCTAGATTATGTGCTTCTTATGAGAATCCAATGACTGATGAAATCATTTCCTGCCTCCCTGTTCATGGAAAAATTGTCTTCCGTAAAACCAGTTTCTGGTGCCAAAAAGGTCGGGGACCACTGATGTACAGCATCCCTTCCAAAAGCAAATGAGAATGCAATAAAGCCTTTTACAGTTTCAGGTAATCTGCAGCAAAGATAAAGGCTAAGATCTTTACTGGTGAAAAAAATCCTTGAAGTTTACTCGAGGCAAAAGACAAATAGATAATTTAGCTACACTTTATATATGGTACGCAATCTAAAATAATCTCTTCAGATTATGTCCACAATATTTGAGGTGTAATCAGGGTTGCTATTCATCTGCTATTCGCTCGTAAGGCTATATAATTATTTAAAATACTGATATATCTCTGCTTCTGACTGGCAGAGAACTACTTCCTCAAGTCCCTTGAGGGAGCATCACCATGCCTGAAGCCTCTGTTGCTCCAGATACTCCCCACTAAGAAGTCCCACACCCATCATTAACAATGAAAGGGTTAACACCTTGCAGAGCAGAAGCCTAGGACTCTGCTGATGTCTATTTTGAGGGATTAGTGTTCCTGTTGTATTCGTTGTTAAATCCCTTGAATATCACTCCTGGATATGTTAGAAAGAGCATTATGCTGGGGCAAGAAGAGATGAGTTTTAGTCCTCTCTCTTCCAGGAGGAGTGAGTTAACTTGGATAAATTAACTCTCTGGAGTTTGTTTACCTCATCTGTAAAATGCAGAGGTTTATAGATGACTAAATAGTTCGGTTGATATTTACAGTACACCACCCTTGTGACAGATATTTTCACTAAGAAATAGGTATACAGAAAGATATAGTCCCTACCCTACAGTTGTTTCCAATCTTTCATGTAAGGCAGACATATAAACAGGTACGTTATAATAAAACATTGTAAAAGCCTTTAGAGAGAAACATAACATCATGGGAACCCAGGGGATGGATAATTAGCTCTAGCTACAGGGTCAGTGAAGGCTTTTCGGAATGAGAAGATCTCATTAGATTTGGGTCTTGAAGGATGTGAAGGATATTCTCAGGAAAACAGAATGGTAGGGTGGGGTGGGGAATGGGAGTGGAATAGCTATCCCCAGCAGGAGTTGGCATTTACAAAACCCCAGAGTCTTATGAGGGCTTGTGTGTCTGAGGAATGGTGAGAAGATCAAGGTGGCAAAGACAAATGGTTTCTAAGATCCTGCCCATCAACAAAAATAAATGAAGTTTTTATTGTTTGTACTTTGGTCTATAAATAAAGTTGTAAATCTTTATTCTGCTTTTGTATGACAACTAAATATGTAGCTTAAGCATTTTAAAACTTTTAATCTGTTTCTAAAGTACAGTGTTTCTCCAAAACTTAGAATATCAACCTGAAAACTAAAAAAATAAATAAATAGCCTGGTCCTTGCACGTCTAAAGGCCGAGCAGCCCCGTCGCTAGGATGCCGCGTGGAAGCCGAAGCCGTACCTCCCGCATGGCCCCTCCGGCCAGCCGGGCCCCTCAGATGAGAGCTACACCCAGGCCAGCACCACCCGCTCAGCCACCAGCAGCGGCACCCCCTCTGCAGTTGGCTCTCCTGCTGCTGCGCCCCGGCAGCCAGGTCTGCTGTCCCAGATGGCAACCACTGCAGCTGGCGTGGCTGTGGGCTCTGCTGTGGGGCACACACTGGGCCATGCCATTACTGGGGGCTTCAGTGGAGGAAGTGGTCCTGAGCCTGTGAGGCCTGACATCACTTACCAGGAGCCTCAGGGAAGCCAGCCGGCACAGCAGCAGCAGCCTTGCTTCTACAAGATCAAACAGTTCTTGGAGTGTGCCCAGAACCAGGGTGACCTCAAGCTCTGTGAGGGTTTCAGTGAGGTGCTGAAACAGTGCCGACTTGCAAACGGATTGGCCTAATCAAGAAGTTCAAACTGGAGAAATGGAAAACCAGCTCTCATAACCAAGTTAACTTAATATAAAAATTTAATTAATAGTGAAGGGGTAAAGTGTAGCCATCAGTTAAACCTCTCCTGTCATTCCTAGCTTCCTTGCTTCAGAATTGAAATGGAAGGGGGGGTTCCTACTCTGTAGAATTTGGAGCTGGTCAGATGTTTGTGTGGCCTCCTTAAACTAGCTGTTATGATTTTATTCTTTGTGAGTTAATTAGAATAAAGTGATTTTCTTCCAAAAAACAAAATAAATAAAAATAAATAAATAAATTTAAAAAAATGAAATTAAAGCTCAAAAATTTTGAATAAATTTTACTTTTTAGAAATAGAGCAATTTACTTAACTCGTATAAATCTTGCCTTGATGTACAAGCTAAAATTAAAAATCTCATCCAACTGAATTTTATTTTTTCTTCCTTAATGTTTTGTTTATTTCTTCCCTAGACTCCCACACAGTAATAGTGGGAGACTTCAACATTAATATTAGACAGAAAATTAGCAACGATATCCAGAACTTGAACTCAGATCTGGAACAAGTAAACTTAATTAACATTTATAGAACTCTCCACTTTAAATACACAAAATATACACTCTTATCAGTACCACATCACACCTACTAATAGGTTTAAATGAAATATTGATTGGCTGCTTGTTTGTTATTTTCTTCCTTCGTTTTTTTCATGTCTCCATGAGTAAGCACAATTATAGGCATACCCATTTTTAGACTGCATTTTAGCCCGGGCAATAAAGTAACACCCCCGTTCTCTCTCCCTCTTCCTCTTTCTCTTTCTTCCTCTTCTTTATTCTTTTTTAAATTTAATTTTATTTTTATTATTCTTTTTTTTTTCTTTCTTTCTCTCTTTCTTTAAAAAAAAAAGATTGTCTCTTCAACTTTTAATGTTTTTTTTTTGTTATTTAATTTTACAGGTATGGAAACTGTTCCTTGGTTTCCTAAGAAGATTTCTGACCTGGACCATTGTGCCAACAGAGTTCTGATGTATGGATCTGAACTAGATGCAGACCATCCTGTAAGTTGTGTTTTTTTTTTTTTTTTTGAGACCAAGTCTTGCTCTGTTGCCCAGGCTCAAGTGCAGTGGTGCAATCTTGGCTCACTGCAACATCTGCCTCTCAGGTTCAAGTGATTCTCCTGACTCAGCCTACCAAGTAGCTGGGATTATAGCCCCGGGCCTTCATGCCCAGCTAATTTTTGTATTTTTAGTAGAGACGGGGTTTCACCATGTTTGCCAGGCTGGTCTCGAACTCCTTACCTCAGGTGATCCATCTGCCTCAGCCTCCCAAAGTGCTGAGATTACAGGCGAGCTACCGCCCTGTAAGTATTTTTCATAAATACATTTATAAAAACAATTTAAAGTGAACTAAAAATTAAGGGCAACTTTTTTACGGAAAGTGTTTTTTCTAGACTAAATGAGATATTGTTTTAATCAAGATTTCAGGAAGTGTTAGTAGACCTTCATGTTGGTGGAATTGAGACTAACTGCCTGAAAAGCATGTAGCTTTATTGATTCCAAAATATCTGTTCCATGTCCAGCATTTCTATTATTAAGAGCTATTCAAGGGGTTATACTAAAATGAAGACAGTGTCTGCAATCAGTTTTTATTTAAGTGGGCATGGGTTATTGGAAAGGGAAATAAACAGTGGGCCAGAGAAAGACTTGCCCCCAACACTGCACAGAATGATTGGTTTACTAGGCAGTTAATGAACTGGGAGATTGTTTCCTTGTAATATTGTAACATACAGGCAAGAGTTGGAGAATTAGTAGATAGAGCATTAGGCTTGTTTACAAAGCTCTAGGTTTCTGGGAGGGGAAGAGAAAAGAGAGGACAATTGTGAAGTTGAACAGACCAGGACTTTAATGTAGAGCTCTCATATATTAGCTCTGTGAATGTGACCTTTTAATACTACCTTAGACAGTCACCAGATATTCTGTCCATTTATTCCATAATCTTATTGAGTAACTATTGCAATTAGTTGCAGTACTTGCCAGAAGTGAGCTTGCAGTCTAGTTGAAATGCTAAAGCACACATATATAAACACACACAAGATAAAATGTAAAAAGGGCGCTAGGTGGCATGAAAAAATTGCTTCAAAATATACATAAGAGAGCAAACACTTCTAGCTGAAGAGATCAGAGAAAGGCAACACTTCAATTGGTATTTAAAAGATTTCGGCAAATAAGAGATGGAAAGGAAGAACAAGTCAGGAGGGAACAATATGAGCAAAGGTTCAGAGGCAAGAAAATTGGGGGCATGTTTATGAAAAGGTGAGTACATCAGTTTTACAGATCTACTAAGTCCTGCTGATTTTTACCTCCTAGGTATTTCTTAAATGTATTCTTTATTCATCCCTATGACCACATCCCTTGACTGGTCTCCCTTCCTCCAACCTTGCCACCTTCAAACACCTCCTTATACTCATTAGAATGACCTAAAACCTCAGTATGACTATTATTAATCTTCTATCTTAAAAATCACCAATGGCTCCTGGGTACATACTTAAAAGAATTGAAAACATATGTCCATACAAAAACATATACCCAAATGTTTATAGCAGCATTATTCATAATAGTAAAAAAGTGGAAACAACCCAAATGTTCATTAACTGATGAATAGATGAAGTATTGTATATTTATACAGGCAATTATTATTGGCCATAAAAAGAGATGGAATACTGCTATGTGCTACAACATAGATGAACCTTGAAAACATTATGATAAGGAAGCTAGTCACAAAAGGCCCCATATTGTATGATTCCTTTTATATGAAATGTTCAGAATAGAAAAATACATAGAAACAGAAAGTGGATTACTGGTTGCCAGGAATTGGGGAGGGTTGGGGTGGAGACGGAGATTGCTAATGAGCATGATGTTTCTTTTTGGAGTGATAAAATCTGAAATTAGATGGTGGAGATAGTTGTTTAACTCTGTGAATATACTAAAAACCACTGAATGGTTATCTTATGGTATATGAATTATATCTCAATAAAGTTGTTATTAAAAAAACACCAGTGGGTTTCCATTACTGAAAGCTAAACTCCAAGCTCCTTAATGGACCTTTAATTTGCAGACCTCAACTAGTTTTCAACATGCTCTGCTTTCCTCTCCAAGTTTGAGCAACATGGGGTTGCTTGTATTTTCTTAGGTCCAACATGCTTTTTTTTTTTTCTTTTTTTTGTTGAAATCACTGTGCTATTTCCACTCCTCTTTTGTGTCTTAACTTGGGAGTCATCACTGGGAGGCATTCACTGAGCCACACAACCCTCTTAAGTGCCATTCTGTACATATCTGTGCAATATGATGAGACACTTTTTGTATCATTTTACAATAACAGGCTCATGTAAACTCCTTTAAGCCCCAGTTTGTGCTTTGTTCATATTTGTTTTTCCAGATTTTAGCACAAATTCAGGTTATAGTAAATCTGTATTACCTTATAGATCTGTGTTAAAGGACGAATCTCGTTCTCTCTTCATAGGTGTCCCCTTCTTTCCCATTATTTGCATTTTTGGCTATTTTCTCCTGGGCCTTGGTTTTTGATTTCTTATTTATTTTATTTTATTTATTTATTTATTTTAAGATAGAGTCTCTGTCTGTTGCCCAGGCTGGGGTGCAGTGGCACCATCACACCTCGCTGCAGCCTAGAATTCCTGGGCTGAAGCCATCCTCCTGCCTCAGTCTCTTCCCGAGGAACTGGGACTACCGGCCTGTACCACCACACCTGGCTAGTTATAATCGTCATTTTAATTTCTTTTTTTTTTTTTTTTTTTTTTTTTTGTACAGATGGGGTCTTGCTTTGTTGCCCGGGGGCTGGTCTCAAACTCCTGGGCTCAAGTGATTCTCCCTCCTAGGTCTCCCAAAGCGTTGGGATTACGGGCGTGAGCCACCATGGTCAGCCATTTTGCCTAAAAAAGTTTTTTTCATGAGTATAAATTCTAATGTTACTATTTTGTCTGCTTTTAAAATCATCGTTTCTGCGAATGGTAAATATACTTGCATTTTGTGATAAAATCTAAGACTAGATTCAGTTAAGCACTATTTCAAATATTAATTCCTTTTTTATTATTAATTGCTATTACAAGTAAATATAACTGAAAATCTAGTCAAATGATTAAGGAAAAAAACCCTCACCCTTGGAAAAGAGCCATGTATTTAACCGGGATAGTGGTTTCCTTATTCTTCAAACTGTTTTATCTTGTAGCCACTATACTATTTTTTTAATCTATTATGTCTTTTATCTTTGTAGCTACTAGAGTATAAGCTGTCATGTAACATTGACTTTAAAATAAAAATGATAATAAATCTCTAAATAATGCTTGCTCATAGTAACAATTATGTAGCCCTTAATTAATAGCTCTACGAATAATGAAATGCTTCCTTAATATCATTTGTCAAGTATTTTTTAGTATGGATATTTAAAAACATGTCTTTAATTATCAGGGCTTCAAAGACAATGTCTACCGTAAACGTCGAAAGTATTTTGCGGACTTGGCTATGAACTATAAACAGTAAGTATATTTAAAAAAAATAATGTAGCCAACTTCAAGATAATAAAATAAGTGAATAGAATAAATTATGTTCATTTGGTAAGTAGAAACTGAAATAAGTGCTACTACTATTTATTAAATGCTAATTCAAAACAACTCTTTCCCTTTATCTCATTAGCGGAGATCCCATTCCAAAGGTTGAATTCACTGAGGAGGAAATTAAGACCTGGGGAACCGTATTCCAAGAGCTCAACAAACTCTACCCAACCCATGCTTGCAGAGAGTATCTCAAAAATTTACCTTTGCTTTCTAAATATTGTGGGTATCGGGAGGATAATATCCCACAATTGGAAGATGTCTCAAACTTTTTAAAAGGTAATAAGCTAGTTAATTCTTTTGTAAGAGGGTTGCTGAACTGTTTTGATCACGACAGAATTTTTTTTGAGACAGAGTCTCTCTCTCTCCTTCTGTCACTCAGGCTGCAGTGCAGTGATGCCATCTCGGTTCACTGTACCTTCTGCCTCCTGTATTCAAACGATTCTCCTGCCGTGGCCTCCCAGAGTGCTGGGACTACAGGCAACCACTATCATGCCCGGCTAATTTTTGTATTTTTAGTAGAGACAGGGTTTCGCTGTGTTGGCCAGGCTGGTCTTGAACTTCTGACCTCAAGTGATCCACCTGTCTCAGCCTCCCAAAGTGCTGGGATTACAGGTGGAGCCACCGCACCCAGCAGTGACAGCATTTTTAACAGAGGAATAAAGTATAGTCATATGGGAGGTCAGAATTTTCCCATACTCTATCCTGGTGTACTGGATCCAGGATTGGGCACCACAGTTGAGAGACAATGATAACCTGCAGCCAAGGTAGAGGAAGGTAAACAGAATTCCAAGGGGATTTGAAATTGTATCACATAAGTAAAATTTGAAGAACTCTTAGGGTTTTAACCTAGAGATTTAGAGGTTGTTATAGCTTTATTTAAATATTTGAAAGTCATCTTTATAAAAGAGGAATTACTGTGCAACTCTAAAGTAAAGGACTGTTGGATAGAAGCTACAAGCTTTTGCCCCAAAATAGAGAATATCTTGTTAAAAGAGTGATTTGAAAATAGAACAGACTTATGAGATGGTTAGTTCCTCATCCGTGGGGGTGTTTGTGCAAAAGCTCCATACCCATTTGCCAGGGATTGGGAAGAGGCGATTCAAGCATCTTGGGGAGGGTTGAAGACCTTTTCCACATGACGTTTGATAATTTTAGCAAGAAAATAGATGGTGCTAGTAGAGGCGTAAACAAAAGGTAAGGACAATTTTCCTCCTTTTAGTTCTTTATGTTTGTTTGGTTCCAGCCTCTTTAATTTTTTCTAGCTAGTATAGGAAATAAAATGAACAGTGATCTGTCTCTAAGGGCTTACAATATTTAAGAAGTATAAACATTCCCTTTTATCTCAGTAGACAATCTCTGCAGATTGCCATAGCAGAGGAAAACAAAGAAGTTATGCTGTGACTGAAGAGTTTAGTTTATTTCCATCTAAACTAGTCTGAAATTGCTATCTTTGAGTTTCTCACATAGACTTTAAAAAAATCTACCTTGAAGCATTTTCAGCAACACATTCTGCAGCCAGCCCAGGCACCAGACCCTAAGTGAACAGCTTTCAGTTTTGTATCCATAACAAAACATTTCCTCCAAATCTCGTGCAAATTTGATGGTACAACTTCATCAGCATCCTTCATCACTATTTTTCCAACATGTAGTTTTTATAGAAACCACTTAAAAATTTATAAGTGTAAAAGTTGGAAGGGGATACCTGCACTATCAAATATGGTAGACACTAGACATATTTGGTTGTTTAAAATTTAAATAACTAAAATAAATTTAAATCAAGAGGTTGGTTCATCAGTCACACTAACCACATTTCAAATGCTCAATGGCTGCATGTGGCTAGTAGTTGCCTTATTGGACAGCACAGATATGGAACATTTCTATCACTATGGACACTTTTACTGGACAGTGCAGTCTGCCCATCAGAATGGGAGCATCACAGCTGGATGGAACTGGCATACTAGAGTTGTGAGGGTTTGGAATGAATAGCAAGATTAGAGCTCACAGAGGTCTCCCAAGCCATTGAATCCTAATGGCGGCCTTTTTTTACAGTATTCATGCAGTCTTGGCTGTTAGGAGGTGGAAGAGCACTATCCAGTTTAGATAAAAGAAAGGGACTATTTTAAAGGAGATGATACTGGCTAAAAATAGCACAGCTTCAAAATGGTTCTGATTTAAGTGAATACATCTTGTTAGTGAGTTTTTACAAAAAGATGATTATCTAGGAGATAGTAAAAACCCTTCAGGGAGACAGCAAGGTGTTGCATGGCATGAGGAGATCTGAGTTCTCCTTCTACCTTTATCAACTAGTGTGTGGACTTGGGCACATTATTTGAGTCTCTGAGCCTCCATTTCATAGTTGTCACAATAAGGAGAAACATCCTTAACTCATGTTGTAAACATGAAAGGAGAAGTGATATGTAAAAGGTCTAACTCATTGCCTGGCCATAGCAAATGTCTAATAATGACTAGTTCCCCTTAATATGCATATGATAAATTTTAGTTTCCATGTCCTCCATCGAAGTGTTACTTCGTGCCACTGGCAGAACTAAAATGCTACAGTCAGGGATCTATTCTGGTAAAGATTTTCTTTTTCTCCTTTGCTTTGCAGAGCGTACAGGTTTTTCTATCCGTCCTGTAGCTGGTTACTTATCACCGAGAGATTTCTTATCAGGTTTAGCCTTTCGAGTTTTTCACTGCACTCAATATGTGAGACACAGTTCAGATCCCTTCTATACCCCAGAGCCGTAAGTACTTCTGTTTCAGCCGTGAATTCATCAAATGGTGATTTATAATAATGGCATCTACCTTATGGGGTTTTTTGGTATGTGAGGATTAAATAAATTAGCACATGTGAAGCTTTTAGAATGGTGCCTGGCATGAAACACATGTCCTATACTTTATATGTGTTAGCCATTATGATTATTAATTGACAGCCTATTAGGTGCTAGCTGCTATTTTGAGCATAGGGAATGTAACACTGAAAAAAATCAGACAAAAATTTTTGCCTGCATAGAGCTTCTATTCCAGTGAAGGATACAGATAATAAACAAACAAGTAAACATATACAAATGTTGCATCGGGTGGTGATGAGTGCCATGGAGAAAAATAAAGCTGAGAAAGGAGATGGAGGAGTGTGTAGGTGGGCGGGAGTGTGTATGTGTGTTGCTGTTTTGAAAAGGGTGCTCAGGGAAGGCCTTGCTAAGAAGGTGATATTTGAGCAGAGATCTGATTTGGGTGTGTATGTGGTGGGGTTGGAGGGTGGACGTGACACCCGGATGTCCAGAGGTATCTGATATGCACTTATATGTGTGTGTCTGTGAGTGACCAACGTTTTGAACCAAAATTGTTTATTTGATTAGTGTCCTATGTAATCCAGAGAATAAAATATTGGATTTGAATTTGATCGAATGGTTGATTATACACTTATGTTAAGTACTGCAGTGTGACAGACTTGTACCTTTATTTCAGAGATACCTGCCATGAACTCTTAGGTCATGTCCCGCTTTTGGCTGAACCTAGTTTTGCCCAATTCTCCCAAGAAATTGGCTTGGCTTCTCTTGGAGCTTCAGAGGAGGCTGTTCAAAAACTGGCAACGGTATAAATCTGGAAATAACTGTATACATCAGTAATTCTCACCTGGGATAGGGTGTTTGAGTATCTGCATAGTTTAAAAGTAAATATCCGGAATGACCATTGGAAAATTTGTCTTTGCTTGGAGGTTCCAGTGAGCCGAGATTGTGCCACTGCACTCCAGCCTGGGCAACAGAGTGAGACTCTGTCAGAAAAGAAAAAAGAAAAAGAAAAGAAAAGGGGTGGAGAGAAGAGGGGAAGGAAAAGAGAAAAGAAGGAGATGAGAAAATAAAGGAAAAGAAAAGAACATTTGGTTTTGCTCATAATCTTTTTAATTCAAATTCAATTAAAGAAGGATGTAAAATTTTCAGGTTTATCAAAAGGAGACATGAGCTTTAGAAAAGGTAGAGAAAAATAAGATTACTATAATAGGTGATCTATTTTTTATTTTCCAATAAAAAGGATAGGTTTCATTAAATTATGCTAGAATGTTTTTGAGTGCTAAGACAAGACACTGGTGGAAAGACAAAGATGACTAAGGCCTGGTTTCTACCTTTAAGGAACTTATATACCATTTGAGGAGACAGTTATGTTCAAATGAGAGAGCCCATAGCAAAGTTAACAGATTGCTCTGGGAGCATGGAGAACTTGGGGAAGGCTTCTTGGAAGAGACATCTGGATTAGCTGATGGAAAACGAGTGATGTGCTGAGCAAGGAGGGAAAGGCGTCTCAGGATGAGGGCACGCAAGGAAAGACAAGGAGGTGCTTGGTGTGTCTGGGGAAACAGCGAGAAGCAGAAGCAGACTGTCCCAGGATGAGGAAGACAGTGCGAAATAGAACAGTGCTTCTAAAACTGTGGTTTGGGGACCCCTGGGATCCCTGAGATTCTTTCGTGGGGTCCTTGAGGTCAAAATAAAAGATCCATTCAAAGCGCACAGTGGATTTTAATGAAATGGGCAGTTCATTGACATAATTCAGATTCTGCATTGCAGTTGAAGTATAAGAAACTCTACACAATTGTTAAGTCTTCATACAGGGTAAAAGAAGAATATCCACAACTCTCTGAAAAGACGCTTAAAATATTCAACCCTTTTCTAACTGGAAACCACATGAAGCTGATGTAACTCATGTACTCAAACAGTATATCCCAAAAGGTTAAATACAGAAGCAGATATAAGACTCCATCTGTCTTCTAGCCACACATTAAAAAGATTTATAACATTGTAAAATGATGCTACTTTTCTTACTTTTTTGTGTTTTATAATATAGTTATTTTTTATTAGCATTATTTATGTTACCAAAAAATGAGTGTATTAAAATTTAAAATTAATTAGCAAGCATTTCCCCTCAGTTTTAATTTTAATATGACTAATCTAGCTAGTGATACCAACACACACACACACACACACACACACACACACACACACACACACACACAAAGCTTTGGGGCCCTCTAATTTTTAATAATATGTAAAAGTCATCAGAACAGAAGTTTGAGAAGTACTAGGTTAGAATGAGGCCAGATTGTAGAAAGACTTGTGAACTAGGCTGGGATTTTAGACTTTATTCTGGGGTACTTTGGGTCAGTGACTAAGAATTGTAATTTGCTTAAGCTGAATTCTTCAGTGTGTGAGAATATTGACGTTCTTTTGCAGTGCTACTTTTTCACTGTGGAGTTTGGTCTATGTAAACAAGATGGACAGCTAAGGGTCTTTGGCGCTGGCTTACTTTCTTCTATCAGTGAACTCAAAGTAAGAATTGTAAATCTTTGCATGTAACCATATTCACCTAATTTAATTGATAAAACCTGAAATAGTTTTTGGTTTTGAATAAAAACTTACTATGGAAAGTACTTGGGGCTGTCACTAATCATTACCTGAATGTATTTTTCTCTATTTCCCAATTATCTATTATATAATCTAAATGTATATAATATCAGAATTTTATCAGGGAATTTATGGGGAACAGCAAGCTTTCTTTTGCTTGAGTATACTGTGGGTTGAATAGAGCTATGGGAAATAAGTTTGGAATTGTAGGTTGGGGCCATTGCATTAGTAATACACACACACGTGAAATATTTTGATATATTTCTGTTATATATGAAATGCTATATGTATAATATATTTAAAATAAATAGTGTTTTGAAGTCTTTGCTTACAAAGTCTTGCTGTTCCCTTACCATTTCTGATATGCCAGCAATAACTTCTATAATTTCTAGGGAATTCTTTGAGATTTATTATTTATCCAATGAATAAATAAACCTATGTTTGTTGAATAATGAATGTGTGTGAAACACCATTCAAGGTACTGTCTTGCTTTCAGGGAGCACTTAGTGGGTATATAAGTCATATATAGGAATAACTAGTGCTGGGTTGAAAGCTGGTGCCATAATGCAGGAATAAGTAAATAAAGATCCTTGGGTGCCTTTTACACAAAGAAGAGAGGAAGACCAAAGCCATGGAGATTATCTTGGGGGCATTTACGAGAAAGAGCAAATCATTTCTTCTGCTGTAGTATACTGTGGGTTGAATAGAGCTATAGGAAATAAGTTTGGAATTGTAGATTGGGGCCATTGCATTAGTAATATGTTAGAGGTGTGCCAATTATGGAAGTTGCATGATCTATGAAAATAGGGATTATTCTTTATTCACTGACTCTTTGTCTTCTAGCATGCACTTTCTGGACATGCCAAAGTAAAGCCCTTTGATCCCAAGATTACCTGCAAACAGGAATGTCTTATCACAACTTTTCAGGATGTCTACTTTGTATCTGAAAGCTTTGAAGATGCAAAGGAGAAGATGAGGTACAGTATATCTTCTTCATGCCTCCATTTTCTTCAGTGAAAGATCAGCCCCATGATGGTAACAGGTCACAGAAGTAAGCAGCTAGATAATTTGAAGCCCACAAGGAGCCTTCTGTCTGTAATACATCTTCCTTTCATAACAAGTATCTACAGTATGTTGTGTATAAGGATTTTGCATAGTTGCAAATATGAATCAGATACATTGAGAAGTTATTTTCTTTCCAATTCTTCCAATCAGAGATTTTAGTAGTCTAATAGGGAAAGTACATTACATGCAAATTACTATATAACAACATGGAAAGTGACAAGAGTCTTGGAGAAATACAGATGAAACATTGTTCTGCATTTTATTCAAGAACAATTCATTTCAGCTGGATGAACAGGGTAATCTTAATGTTATTTGAGAAAGGACTTGAAGGATAGGTAATATTTAGATGTATTAAATTTTAGGCTGTGAGATAGCTTGAAAAAAGGGTCTAGATGTTGAAAAATATAGGAGATATGTACAACTCAATCAAAGCTACACTTTATTAATCAGCTAAGTGTGTGATGAAGAAAGGTGGATATTGGAGGAAGAGAAACTTTTTAGAAGATTCTTGCAACACTTCCGGTGAAAACAAATGCCTGAACTAAGACAGAAGTAGTAGGAAAGGAAAAGTCTTTCAAAGCAGAATCAATGAAACAACTTTGAGTGGAAGGGGTCATGAGGTCACATTGTGGTGATGGGGATAGATAGGGGTTGAAGTAATAGTCCTTGTCTTCCAGAGAAGCCATTAGTTGGGGAGTTAGGCCATTTACTAAACCAAATAATAATGCTATCAGGGATTCCTCTAGCATAAATGGCACCTTTATGCAAATTAGAAAAGGGGGTCCCCTCTGTGTAGATCAGGTGGATTATGAGTTGGATTTCAGCTGCTACTCATGTACATTTGTCCTCAGCTGCACATTTATCCCTAGGAGTCCTGAACATGATTGTTCTTGGGGGTTCCAATTGAGAGTTTCAAACAGTGGTTTGATAAAGGAGGCAGAACCTTAATGCTTAAAAAAAGGGCAGACTTTAGGTCATTTGAAAGGAGCCTAGAGGGAAACATTCTAAGCAGAAAAAATATAAGTATGCACAGAGTAGGACCATTCCTAGTCTATTTTGGGGTGTGTGAGTATGTGTGTGTCTGTATGTGTTATATGTTAGATAAACACACAGGTTACATGTGTAGGTAAGTATAGTTATATAAGGCATGATTGTTACTATGTGGTCAAGTGTTGTAATGAAACAGTTTTATGTCTACTGATAAAACTACAGTAGTTTGTTTCCTTACTGTAGTCAAGAGATGTATACATTCATAAATGATTAATAAATCAATTTATGGAATCTTTCCCTAGTAATGCCAGGGTTTTACAGCTGCTTTATAACCCAAAGTAGTTATAACTATTTTATAACTCTATAACTATTTTCTGTAGTTATAAAATAGTTATAACTACTTTAGTTTTCACACTTGCATGGGATTCCAGGGGGCCTCTGCAAATGCAGTGTAGAGAAGTAGGTCAGATTGGTTGCACGCATATCTCACAAAGATTTGTCTTTTGCCTAGTATGTGAAATAGGTTCTGTTGTTTGTTTAGTTTTCATCATTCATCCCCTAGAAATTGATTGTCTCTCATTTGTTTTCTTAAATAGAGAATTTACCAAAACAATTAAGCGTCCATTTGGAGTGAAGTATAATCCATATACACGGAGTATTCAGATCCTGAAAGATACCAAGAGCATAACCAATGCCATGAATGAGCTGCAGCATGATCTTCATGTTGTCAGTGATGCGCTTGCTAAGGTCAGCAGGAAGCCAAGTATCTAACAGTAGCCAGTCCTAATCCAGGAGCATTTGAGCATCAACTTGGAGGCCTCTGGGCCGTCTCTTGCTTTTCTTTTTTTTTTTTTTAAATTTTACTTTAGGTGTATACTATATCCAGCATTTCTCCCCGTGTTATCCCTCCCCACCTTCCCGACCCTCTACTGTCCCTCCCCTACCCCCCGCAACTGCCCTCAGTGTGTGATGCTCCTCTCCCTGAGTCCACGTGTTCTCATTGTTCAACACCCACCTAGGAGTGAGAAAATGCAGTGTTTAGTTTTCTGCATCTCTTGCTTTTCTTGAAAACCTGATCCTGGAGGGACAGCATCTTCTGGCAAACAATGTTATCAAATCCCACTCCTTAATGAATCACTAGTCTTTGAAAATTTGTACCTGGATATTCTATCTACCACTTTTTTTTGTTGTTTAGTTTTCTTTTTTTGGTAACAGCTTCAATGAGACGATTTGTTTACCATACAAGTCACTGATCACCCATTTTTAATAGAGAAGTCATTTGACCGAATAGATAGATCTAGTCTCAGCCTAACTCTATTTTCCCCAATCCTTCTTGAGTAAAATGACCCTTTATGATCATTTAGAATACCTTGAGGAGTATTATGGCACTGACTCATATTGTTACCTGAGATCCCCTTATTTCTAAAGTATCTATTACTTATTGCTGAATTTGTGTCAAGCTCAATCACATTCATACAGCAAAATTTAATAGGAGACCAGCTGTCTTTGTTGCTAGCAGGAGCAAAAGTATAGAGACCTTTGTACATGAAGCACACCTAGTAAAGACCAAGTAGTCTAGTTTCAAGTGTAGTATCTTGCAGGGAAATAGGAGTAGCTAAGCCTGGAAAGGTTGATTGGGGCATAATCATTAAGACCAGGCTATGAATTTGAGACTTTATTTGTTGGCACTAGGGAGCCTCTTCCCAAGTAACTATCTTCCTGGAAACTTTGTTTTCTTTCAATGACATCACATGATACTGGTTTTATTCTAGACCATGCATCCCCAAACTTTTTACACGGGGGGCCAGTTCACTGTCCCTCAGACCGTTGGAGGGCCGCCACATACTGTGCTTCTCTCACTGACCACCAATGAAAGAGGTGCCCCTTCCTGAAGTGCGGTGGGGGGGCTGGATAAATGGCCTCAGGGGGCTGCATGTGGCCCGCGGGCCGTAGTTTGGGGACGCCTGTTCTAGACTATCTATCCTACTCATGGGTCCAAGGGAAACTTAGTGGAGATGCAACTTGCATGGGGCTGTACTCAGAACTCAGACATGTGGTCCTAGGTATCATAACGGGATTGTCCCCAGATTAACAGGAAGCATTGTTATCAAAGGGAGAGTTCAAACTGAGAGAGATGAGAAAAGCGCAAAGTGAAAGACAGAAAAACAGTGCTGAGTACTTTATTTCTAAGGTATAAGGTGAGGCCATAAACAGGAAGCCATGCAGTGAGAGTAGAAGCTACAGAAAAGGGGAGGAAATAGAATGTCAGAAAGGTCAAGAAGAGCAGTTTGGGACTGAGACTGTAAGTAACGTAAGGATTTCAAGGACTGGTTTTTATGCAGAGTCAGCTGTGTAGCATAAGGAGTAAGCAGTCCTGTTATAAATGGGTGAAGCTGGACTCCAAAATACAAGCTTGTGTCTTTTAATTTGCCCCATTCCTCCTCTAGTCACTAAATGAAGATGTTCTTCCAGTTCCTGTCTTTGGACTTCGTCTCTTTTTGCTGTCTTTCTATGGGGAATGTCATCCAGATATATCACTTGAGTTCTTATTTTAAATGACTCCATTTGCAGTTATAACCCTGACATCTTTCTTGAATTTTTTTTGCCTCTTAATTCCAACTAATTCCTGGATGTCCATGTAGATGTCTCATAATTTAGGCCAATGCTGTACAACTTCATGTGACCCATCCACACAGAATGAATAGGGGTTGTATAATATGGTAACTCTGTCATGTATCTCAAATTGACCATGTCTATATAGGAACTCGGAATCACTTGAATATCACGCTCCATCAGCTTCCTCTCCCAGTATTTAATTTCCATGAATGGTATATTAAACATCATATTTACAATCATTTTCAGGTGTAATCACCTACTTAAAAAAACTATGCTTTTTTTTTCACATAAATTGTACACCATTTAACATGCTTTATTTCAACAGACTACTAGATCTTTTAGTACTTCTTAGACCTCAAAATAAATTATCAAAAACTTTGTATTTCACGTCATATTATATAAGGAAATATAATTTGGAAGAAGAATTCATGCTGTTTTAAATTTTTACGTTACTTATACTTTAATAGCTAATCAATTCTTAAGTATACGTTTGATGGTAAACAGATGCTAGTGAATCTGGAATCATTTGAAATATTGATGAGCTGATTTATAGTTTGGTTGCAAGGAAATCTATTGTAAGCAAATCCTAATAGACAGCAAATCTTAGAACATGTAGAAAAAGAGAAAGTAAAAAACAAATAGCAAATAACACAAATTATGCATACTATATATGGTTATTTTTATACAATTTTGATCATGATGAAGAATCATACTTATTAAATTTTAAAATAATGATGTTTAAAATCACTCTATGACTAAAGCACATGAAAATAAATGTTAAAAATACAACCAGTATAATTCACAACTTCAGAACAATGGAAATTTTTGATGACGGATTTCAGTTCTTCTCACTTCTGGGGATTTGTGATATTTGGTAAATCAGGAGTCCTGAGAGTCTTAGAATTTTCATGCATTTTAAATATATGTCTTCAAAGCATCTAGGAATATGTAAATAGTTACCCAAATGTGAGAACAGAATTGAACTAAAAGCTTCATTCATAATTTTATTTGTTTATTTTTTAGATAGAGAATTTAGAATAGTCTTACTCTGTTGCTCAGGTTGAAATGCAGTTGTGTGATTTCAGTTCACTGCAACATGGGATTACAGGCATAAGGCACCACGCCTGGCTAATTTTTTTTTTTTTTTTTTTTTTTTTTTTAGTGGAGATGGGGTTTCACCATGTTGGCTAGGCTGGTCTCGAACTCCTGACCTCAGGTGATCCATCCACCTCAGCCTCCCAAAATGCTGGGATTATAAGCGTGAGCCACCATGCTCAGCTGGTTTATAATTCTTTATCAGTGAATCATTATTCAAAGACATAGTTAATATCCTACTGACTTTTTAAGGATGCTCAAAAGCTGGTCTTCAGAATGCCTGCATTTCTTTACCTACGTATTTTGTCATTTGGAGTTATACAAGTAGTAACAACCTACCAAAATATACCTAATTATTGTTAGTTTTTAAGTTGGCTTCAAAATTAAAAAAAGAAAAAAAATCCAGGAATTTTGTAAAGGAATATATAATAAAGTCCATATGTTAATTCCTAGAAAGTGTTTAAGATACTGTGGTCTATTTTGGTGTAGTCTTTGTTTTACTATGTAATATACATTTATGATTTACAAGTTTGTTATTCAATGGGATAATAAATGAACACAAAATTTATGTTCTTAACCAGTATTTACTTTTTTTTAAACATATGGTAAAAATTGATTTGAACTTATATTAGCAGTTTTATTAATTTAAGAAATCCATTATGTCTTTATACTTCTTGAAAAGCCTATGAATATAAGATAGAAGCCAACATATCTGGAACCCGGTAACCACTTTTCAGAGTTTTTGGTAAAGTCTCAGTTGCATGTTACTGCTGACGAAAAGAGTCAAACATTGTAAAGCATTTCAAGAGATTTATTCTGAACCAAATATGAGTGACCATGGCCCATGACACCGCCCTCAGGAAGTCTTCAGAACATGTGCCTGAGGTCATTAGGGTGCAGCTTGGATTTATACATTTTAGGGAAACATGAGACTTCAATCAAATACATTTATAAGATACATTGGCTGAGTCCAGAAAGCTGGGATAACTCAGAGTGTTGGGTGGGAGGCTTATAGATTATAGGTAGCTTTAAATTTTTCTACTTGGCAATTAATAGAAATGTCTGGGATGCTATAAAAGGTTGCAGAGACCAAAGTTTCAACATGCAGATGAAGCCTCCAGATGACAGGCTTCCAAGAGAATAGCTTGTAACCGTTTCTCAACAGACTTAAGGTCTGTGTAGATGTTAGTGCTGGAGAGGTATAATGAGACATGTATGTGACCCCCACATCCAGTTATGGCCTCAATGGGTCTTTCAGGTTAAATTTTAGAGCGCCCTACCTAGAAGAAAGTCCATTCAGATGGTTGCGGGGGGCTTCGAATTTTATTTTTGGTTTACATTCCTCATCTGTAAAATGAACTAAGTCTACTACACTGGATTACTGAAGAAATTATTCTGCATGAGGAATTTGTAAAAAAAAACCTCATTTTCCACTCATAAAGAATTATTAATACGATCACTCTCTTAACAGATATCCCCCCTTAGCTTCTGGATGATTTTATCTTTCACAAGAGGGGATTGTTTTTTGCTTCTAGTAGGCAATATACAATGGCACAGTAAAGCCTTAGTCCAATTAGGGATTGAGTGAAAGAGAAGCTGAACTTCAGTCTTTTTGAGGGCTGGTCTATTTCCAGTGTACCTTGACTTTTAGGGTGTAGCCCATTAGGGATCCCAAGTGAAAGCTATGAGTGTGTACCAGGGGTTCTCCTTGGGGGCTCTGGACTCCCACTTTTGTCCCCTCCTTCACATTCACCATCCCCACCTCCCATCCCTACCCTATGAGATTGCTGGAAGTACTGCTCAGCTTCTCAGTGCTGATTCCAGCCCAGTTTCCTAGCCTCCAAGACATTGCTTATAATTAGTAAGTGCTTCAAGGAGAAAAGCAGTTCCAAATATACTCTCTCAGTTTCCAGATCTTGGCCCTTCAAGTTTTTGCTGCTTTGATAGCTCTCCAATGACTTGAAACAGATTTTAAAAATATTTTCTGTCAACTTTTCTAGTTGTTTTTCATGAGAGAATAGGCTTGCAGCTAGCTAATTTTCCTTTATCAAAAGTAGAAAACTAACCTTGAATAACTTCTTTGAGCTTCAGTTTTCTCATCAATAAAATAATGATCCTGGCCAGGCAAGGTAGCTCACACCTGTAGCCCCAGCTACTTGGGAGGTTGGGAGGATCATTTGAGCCCAGGAGGTTAGGTGGAGGCTGCAGTGAGCCATTATCATGCCACCTGCACTCCAGCCTGGGCAACAGGGGGAGAACCTGCCTCAGAAAAACAAAATAATATAAAATAAAATAATACTCCTAACAGCATTTACCATACTAGTGTTATTGGGACAATCAAATGAAATAATCCAATGGGAAAAATTTCCTAACCTTTACGATACAGAGATGCAGTCTGTATGTTCCCAAATTCTTTATACTCTCCTCTTTCGAGGAGACAAGGCATCTGAAATTGAAGCCATTAAATGGTTTAAATCTAGTCCCATTCAGGAACTGCAATTCAGCCAGGCTGCTTATGGGAAGAACTAGGAAGTGGTGAGTACATAGCTAAAATAGTTGCAACATCTCAATACTTCCAATAAATTATATTAAGGGATCTAACGTGATAAGATAACTGTAGGTTAGTTAAAGTATTGATGCTTGTACATTCAAGGGGTGAAGTCAGAGAACAGCTATGTTCTCCCAGACCCTCTATTAACACTGGCTCTGAAGATAGTTCTTTCTTGCCCCTCTGGGTGAAATCTCAGGTTGCTGCCTCGACTTTTCTGCCTGCTCACAGGTAATAAAAAGTGCTTAGCTTCTAATTTTCATTTCTCTCTCTCTCTCTCTCTCTCTCTCTCTCTCTCTCTCACACACACACACACACACACACACACACACACACTTTCTCATTTCAATATTTAAAAGGGCTAGTCCTGTGAAAAACTAAAAAACAAACTTTAAGGTTGAAGCTTTTTTTCTTCTCTAGAACTGGGTTGGGGAGAAGTAGAGGGAAGGAGGTAAGAAGGAGGAAAGTTCTCTTTGGTCTGATACTGTTGTGAATTGGCATCAGTGCTTTCTGAACTTGGTTAAGTATTTCATGCTGGCATTTTCTTGTGGGCATTTTGGAAGACCTTCCCACCTTCTTATTCCTTGGGATCTCTTGATGTGGGTAAATGTATCTCGCTGGGCTGTTAAATTCATCTCCCTCACCCTCAAGGAATCTAGTGATCACTCTCCTGTGGGTGTCACTTCACCCTTCCAGTAATTCCCTTGGACAAGGTCTAAGACCATCCTCCGGCCAGTTTGCTCGTGTATAGGAAATACATGGGAAATGGACAGTTTTTATTTTGAAAAACTGGGTGTGAAAGACCTCCCCAAAGCATCAGTCTGTCTTTGCTCAGCTATTAGAGTAGATATCCAGCCACAAGCCCTTGTACTTCTCAGCACAGATTGGACAGAAGCCTGCCGGGGTCTTATTCTAGAGGCATGCATGCCAAGCTCTCTCAGGGACCCAGCTGAAGTACCTTTCCTTGGACATGAGATGGGTGAGACCCACATCACATTGATAATTGTGGCCACATATCCTACTACAATTCTTTCTGGCCTCTCAACCTCTTTTGTAGACTGAAAGTCATACACTGGTTTCTACACAGCTGCTTTGCAAGTCCTGCTTTGGTGGTCTTGCACCTTACTTTATGATATAGGAATAACTCACTTGTTGCTCAGCCAAAACTGGGCGGGGAAGAGTCCCATTTTTACATTCTGTTACACATGCTTCAAAGAAATGGTCAGCACAAAAAAGCCCACTTGTAAGACAGTCAGCAAGCATGGTATAGCTTCTGCACATTCAGATCCCTAGAGAAGAAAGACCTGTTTTGTCTCTCCAAAGTTTGCCTTTTTCTTGGTATGATCATCAACGTTCTCCAGATGCCACAGGTTGGAGAGGCGAAGGTGATGGGCTGCCTTCAAGTGGTCTTACAGACAGAAACTCCTAGGAGTGGGTGGAGTGAAAGAATAGGAAAGGAGAGTGTAAGAGCTCACTCAGGACACCTCCCACAAGCTAAGGCGTGAAGGGTGGAGTGCCGGAGCGGGTGTCAGCAGAGGGGCCAAGGGCTACGAATGTGGATGATCATCTTTAATGTGACCCCATGTGTTCTGTATTCCCAATAGGCAGTGCCATAGTTTCCCCCAGGCAAACTGAACGTATTTAACTCCCACCAGCAACACGACACTGTCTGGGAAAAGACATTTTATATGGAAATGTTCGTTGGGTGAAAGTTATCCGGCATTAATAGAATGAGCACAGGGCCGTGCCCAGAGCGCGGAGGCTGCCCCAGCAGGAGCCGACGCTAACCAGCCTCCCCCATTCAGCGTCGCGAGGCGCGGGTTGTCTCTCCACGCCAGGTGTAGAAGGCGACACCCGCGACGTGCCACTCAGCTCGCCTCCCAAGGCGCCCCCTCCGATGTTTGCGAACGCAGACTAAAGCGGGCTCCCGACAGCCGTGCCCGAGACGCCGCGCAGGACACTGCCCGCCCCCTCAGGCTCCCTTTCCTGCTCCCGCCAATGGTGATGCCATCCCAGCCCCTCTGGGCTGTGGTGGGACTCCAAGGAGACAAAAACGCGAAGGAGCTTTGTGAACTGTGGCGCGCAGTGCGCCTGCATGCAACATGAAATGAGGACTAAAAATAAAGCGTGCGAGGGGGTGGAGCGAGAGGCTGAGCGGCCCAGCGCGGCAGCAGGCTGCGGGAGGGGACGCTGCGAGCGCGCCGGGGCGGGCCGACTGGGAGGGGGCTCCGGGGCTGTCGTCCGGCCCCGCTCGTCACGGGTCCCTGGCGGCCGGAGGGCGCGGCCGCACCTCCTCTCTAGGCCCGCGGGCCCCTTCCCACCACAGACCTCCCCCCGCGCCCACGCGATCCCGCGTCCCCGGTCCCGTCCTCGAGCCAGGGCCTCCCGCGCCCACCAGTCCCCAACAAGCCCCGCCCCCGTGCGATCCCTCCCGGAAGCGCCGGCGGAGCGTCCTCGCGTGGAGCGCCCTCGCATGGAGCGCGAGCCCAGCGCCTCGGAGGCCGCCCCCGTGGCGGCCGCGCTCTTCGCCTGGGTACGTGACTCCGCCCCCGGGCCAGGGCCGGCTCTGAGGGGCGCCGGGACGTGGGAGCTCCGGGCCTCGGCGTGGGTAGTTCGGTGGCTGGGCGGCCGAGGTCCGAGTCGGGCTCCGGGTGGGAGGTTCCTGGGCTGGGAGCGGAGGAGGAGCGGGCAGGGAGGGAAGGGTCTTCGCGGTCGACTTAGGGGCCTGCGGGCTGGTGGGGTCGGGGCCGGAGGGGCTGTGGCGCCGGGAAGAACCTGCCTCCGGGCGATCCTGTCTCGGGGCTGAGCGTCTGGTTCCGCGAGAGCCCTTCGGCCCGGCAAGCGCCTGGAAGACAGCGCGGCGGGCTCGGTGGAGAGGATCGCCCGGTCCCAGAGCCCCGTGGGGACACCTGTGCTCCCCAGCCTCCTGATGCCTGGAGGATGGAGGCCCTGTCCCGGCCGGGCGAGAACATCCTTTGGATGTGAGGCCTGCGGTGTTTGGCCGCGCACACCGCACAGACCCTGCCTATTTGCTGATACTCTGCTGTGACCAGTGCTTGCCTGTCTTGCGGGAGTTGGGTTGCTGTTGGTTTGACGGGAGCATTGGGAGAGACAGGGTGATCCTGATGTGTGTCCGGGAGAGAGGAGGGTTCGTGCACCGGAGTGTGGCAGGCAGGTGACCAGCATGCATGGGAACAAGCAGTTGCTGCGTCTTGTGCTGCTCCATAGCACGTATCACAGTTGTAATGATGTGTATAATTTATTATTAACGTCAATCTTCCTGGCTAGAAAGTAAGTGTGGTAAGAGTGGATGCTGTGCCAGTGCCTCTCCTGGCGTCTGGCACATTGAAGGTACCCAGTAAATACCTGCTGACGAATGAATGAAGGAGTATATGTGTGCCTAGCCATGTGCTGGTGGTTTGGAAAATACACTTGAGTGAAAGACTTCCAGCTCTTATGTTGGGGAGAGCAAAATTATAACCGGTATTGCTGTAAAAATCAGTATTAATTGATCAGTTTTTAAAGATGTCATGATCAGTAAAGGTGAGCACTTGTTGAATGTGGGGCTGCAGTTTGGCAGGAGGGAGAGAGCATGCTGTGGCCTGCGGTAGTCTGACTGGCTGGGCATCTTGGAGGTGGCCCGGGAGCTGGGAGTGGAGTTGGGGATTGAATTTTCTAGGCAGGAGACTGGCGTCTGTGTAGACAGACGAAACATCGGACAGAAACAACTGTTAATATTCGGTCTTGTCTGTACTGAAACAGAAATACTTGTTTTAGTACAGACAAGGCCGAATATTAGAGATTTTAAAATATGTTTAATAGATTGTTGAACGTCACCCTACTGCTGTGTTTGGAGGCTTGGTGGTGTGTTTTTGCTGCTGCATAATCTGAAATTGGGTCGGGGGTGTGTTGGTTGGCTAAGGCTGCCAGAACGAAATACCACACAACGGAGGCTTAAACAACAGACATTTATTTTCTCACATTTCCGGAGACTAGAAGGCCAAGATCAAGGTTTGAGTAGGTTTGGTTTCTCCCGAGGCCTTTCTCTGGCTTGCAGATGGCCGCCTTCTCACTGTGTCCTCACATGGCTTTTTCCACTGTATCCTCACATGGCTTTTTCTGTGTGTGTGAGCATCCCTGGTGTCTCTTCTTGTAAGGACACCAGTCATATTGGATTAGGGCCCCACCCTTATGACCTCATTTAACTTTAACTGCCCCTTTAAAGGCCCTCTCTCCAAATACAGTCGCATTTGGAAAGATTAGGGCTTCAACATGTGAATTTTGAGGGACTAAAGTTCAGTCCACAAGAAGGGGATTTACCTTTTGAGGGGTGTGTGTGTGTGTGTGTGTGTGTGTGTGTGCATGCGTGCACATGTGTACATATGTGATATGTCTGGAGTGTTTGTAAGGAAGAAAGGCTAATAACAGTTGTAATTGGTTGTATTAAATTTTACTTTGTCTTGCTTTATCCTGGAATTAGGGCCTCTGGCAGCATCAAAAAAATTGGTACCATAATTTGAACCTCAGAGTGCCCATGTGCCATAGTACCTTTCTCCCATGTGTTCAGCAGCCTTGCACCCCTGGTAATGGGACAGCCACAGAGATCTCAGGGCTGACCAAGAAATCCTGTGAATGTATACTCTATATTCTCCTTCATGCTGAGCAATAGTCTTTCATAGTCTTACATTCATTCCCCATATAAATATATTTACATCTTCTTTCGGCTGGCACAGTTTCAGATGCAGGGGAAGTAGCAGTGAGCAAAGCAGAGTTCCTGCCCTCCTGGAATTTAGTTTCTAAAAGGGGAGGTTTACAGTATTTCCAGTGATTTCCTCTTTGGTCAAGTAAACATATATAATGTAACATCAAGAAGTGGCATGAAGAAAAATGAAGTAGAAAATGAGTGATATGGGGATGCTATTTTAGATAAAGTCATACAGTTAACCTCCTGCCAGGTAAGCTCTGGGCTTTTTCACCATATATTCTTTTTTTTTATTTTTTTAAAGAGACATAGTAAGGTATAGTAAAAGGAGCAGGGCATCTGACTGGTTGCCTACACAGATGGAACTATGGAAAGTTAACTTAGCCTCTCTGAGCCTTAGTGTCTTCCTCTGTAAAATGGGAGTGATAATGTCCTTCTTAGTTGTTGTGAAGATTAAAGGTCAATGCAAAGTGTGGAGAGAAGCACTCAGCAACTGGTAGCTAATATTGTCCCCATGAGCTTCTGGGACTTATGCCCCTGCCATGGCTTACTCTTCCACCTCTGAGCCCTTGCAGCCCAGGATGGCCATGAAATAGACTATAGGGAGAAGGATTTTGTATATATGTGTGTATTTTTTGGTAATTATTTTACATTACCTTTCCTCATTCAGGTGTCTTCAAAAACAAACATATGTAAAAGATTTTACTTCTCATCTCCAGGAAGAACCAGCTAGGAGTAGATACTTGAATAAATTAGAATTTATGAAGTCTTAGTAAGATTCTCTGCAGGTCCTCAATCCCTTATCTTCAATTCTGAATACAAAAAGCTCTGAAAACCCACAACTTACTGGACATAAGGCCATTTATAGTCTTTGGCCACTTCTTACGAATATTTGTACTTCTTAATGCAGAAATACTATTGTTTTGCTTATGGACTGCTGTCCCTGGACCTTGCATCAGTATATATGACATATATACTGTATTACTTTTCTAAAAGCTGTAAAATTCTGAATCTGAAATACATCTGACTGCAAGCATTTCAGATTAGGGATTATGGACCTTTATTGTGTAATAATAATAGACATATTGCCTGTCAAGGGGAAATTTGTCCCCTTACTGGAATCTCACCATGTGAATCTTGGAGTCACACAGCACTGTACTTGGAATGGCCCTTAGAGATCATTGCCAACCTCTTTCACTACAAATGAAATAATGCTGTGCCTTGCTTTAAGGCAGAAAATCCTTAGCCAACTTTGATTCCAGAGTCATTGCCAGTTTTCCCAGTGAGGGTGTGGGGAGGAGGAACAAGAATGAATTCCAGGTTGTTTCTTTCCCATTTTGGTGCAATTTTTTTCTCATTTTTTTTCTTTCCTTAGCTTCCCTAGGTAGGTAGCTTTTATCAGAAGGAACCCATGTGCTGTCTCCCAAAGGCAGTGTGTGGGGGCTGGAGCATAAGCAGGGAAAGATGAGGAATATCACCGGATGAGTTATGGATGCTAAGGACTCTTCTCATATGGAAATCATGGTGTTCTGAGGATGGGGCCTCCATCTAAATATGGGTTGCCTATAACAGCCCTTTAGAATGAGCCTAACCAGTTATTTCCTCTTTGGTCAGTTTCCCACTTGAGAAGGGAGAGGTAAGATTTACATTCCCAAATGCTTCGGAGTCCTTCAATGAGCGAATTATTATGATTATTATTTTTCATTTTAGATTTTGGGGAAGGGACTTGAGGAGGGAGACAGTTTTGCCCACAACTCCAGAGACAGAGAACAAAGGAATGACTTCCGTTTTTCTTTGGGCTGGCCCCTGTGGGGGTCTGTGAGCAGCTTCTGGAACTTTGTTTGGATTCTGTGTCCATATTTATAATTCATTTGAAATGTGCTGGATAGTTTTCTCATTTGGGGGCTGAAGTTCAGCTAGGGAAAGCATGAAGTGGCATGGGAGGTGAGGGAGCGAGAAAAGGGGCTAAAGAGAGATATGAGGTACTCCTGCCAAGTACTCACAGCTCAGAACTCCTCTCTGGAGCAGAGAAGGCTCTCCTCCTCAAGAGGCTATGTTATTCTCAGTCAAAAGAGCCTTGATTTAGGCTACGGCCTCTCTTTTCATGGCCACCCTAAGGGGAAGGGCCACTTTACCCCGTTACCTCCAGAGGATTGGGCTAGGCCAAGTACCTCATAGGACTTGTGTCCCCTCCAGCCATGACTGGCATCGCTGCTTTGCCTTCTGGGGCCTGAGGTGGAAAAATGTGGTTTCTTCAGCTGTTGCAGGAGGCCAAGAGGCAGGGCATTAAGTAGATTAAGCCTGTCAGGGTGCCTACCTAGGAACTTTCCTGGACATGAATTTCCTCCACTGTTATGGTTATGAGTCTCTTACTTATGGGATTGCAGATCAGGGGTGGGGAGAGAGTGTTACATGTTGTTTTCTAGTGCTTGTTATTATATATTTGAATAAACAGTGCTGTATTTGCCATGAAGGAGCAAAAAAAAAAAAAAAAAAAAAAAAGAATGAGGCTAAGAAATCTCATCTGTTATAGGCTCTGCGAGATATGTCAGAGTGAGAAAGGTAGAGACTGGTAAGTAGACACTGACACTTAGAGTCCCCACACTTTTTCATTCTTGGCTTATTCATCTCTAGGGTGCAAACAGTTATGGGCAACTTGGCCTTGGCCATAAGGAAGATGTGCTGTTGCCCCAGCAACTGAATGACTTCTGTAAACCCAGGTGTATCAGGAGGATCACAGGAGGAGGGGGCCATTCTGCAATTATCACAGGTAACTTCCTTCAAAAGTAGATAGTCATTCATTTTCTTATTTAGACATTTCCTCCTGGGACATTATATTGCCATCTCTCAGGCTTTTTATTTTTTATTTTTTATTTTGCAGAGGAAAAGAATATATTTTTGTGAAACATTTTGTGAAAGAGCCAGTTACCATCAGAGGATCCTAGATTGTCAGGGCTAGAAGGACTTCAGAGATCTTCTAGGCCACCCCTTACCCCTACCTCCTCCATTATGCAAATGATACTCAGAAACACTGATTGCTTAACATCACAAGGCAAATTAGTGGCAGAGTTACAATGTATATTTTACACAATAGGAGTTAGAGTGTTTGTAATTAGATTGGCTATTTGTTGAGAGTGGAAACTGTATTTCCCTTCATCTTCCCTTACTGTATCTAGGCTAGCACTTAACAAGTAGTACAGGTGCTACAATGTCGTAAAGGGGGCATGTTGCAGCTGGTTAAGAACATGAGCTCTGGCGTCAAATGTGTAGGTTTAGATCCTGGTTCTATGACTAATTATCTATGTGGCCTTGGGCAAATAACCACAGTTTCTGAATCTATTACACGAGGATAATAGTGGTAGATGACGAGAACCAGTGAATTAGCAGGGCTCCACTCTGACTGTCATGGGTCCTTGGTGCTTTGGCTTTTATGGACCCCTTCCTTTGTAAATAAATGAAATGATATTTTACAACCGTGTTGGTATAAAGATGAATATTAATAGAATCCACTCCAGATTTAGTATTATGTATGCATTGTTATTACATTATTTTTTTTTTCTCATTTCAAAATAACTAAAAATTAAGCCACTCTTGTGGGCCTCTAAAAGCATTGTAGGCCCTAGACACTGTGCCTACAGAATAAGTCTGCCCTGCACAAAAGCTCTTAAGACAGTACCTGGCGCATTCTAAATGTTAGCTTTTTGTTCTAGTAGATGCTCAGTTTGGTGATTGATTGAAGTTTCTATGTAGTTATTAGATTTGAAGCCCTTGACCTTGTGTCACTTGGCTCCAGAATACATGAACATACATAGCTTATTAACTTGGATGGGAAAAAAATTTTTTGGTATGAGACTCCTAATAATTAGTGAAATCTTTTTGTTCACTTTGCAGCTGTTTCCCCTGGGCACACTATCACTGATGCCTTTATATTTTGCAGATGGAGGGGACCTCTTTGTTTGTGGCCTGAACAGAGATGGGCAACTGGGGCTTGGTCACACAGAGGATGTCCCATCTTTTACCCCCTGCAAATCCCTCCTTGGCTGTCCCATCCAACAGGTGGCCTGTGGCTGGGATTTTACCATTATACTCACTGGTGAGTTCACTCCAGATAAATTTTTATCACCACAAAGGCTTTGGGTGAGAGCAATATGATAGTGGTGACTGCTGATTAAATGAAGGCCTCTATGTGTTTAAAAAGTACACACAAGGCCCGGTACGGTGGTTCACACTCGTAATTCCAGCACTTTGGGAGGCCTAGGCGTGCCTATCACATGAGGTCAGGAGTTCGAGACCAGCCTGGCCAACATGGTGAAACCCCTTCTCTACTAAAAATACAAAAATTGGCTGAGCATGGTAGCCCATGTCTGTAGTCCCAGCTGCTCTGTAGTTCCAACTATTTGGGAGCCTGAGGCAGGAGAATCGCTTGAACCAGGAGGTGGAGGTTGCAGTGAGTCGAAATTGCACCACTGTACCACAGCCAAGGTGACAGAGCAAGACTACGCCTCTAAATAATAAATAAATAAATATAAAATAAATGAAAAGCACAGACAAAATTTCCCTCTGGTTGTCAAGGAAAGTTGTGGAGTACCTTTTCCAAGGATGGTTTTAACAGTACAGGTGATTAGGATCAGAGAGTAGGGAATAGACTAGATCACCTTTGGTGGCCACTTCCTGTCCCAAAAGTTCGTAATAGCTGTGTGCCTGGGCTAACTGGCCAGTGGCCAGCAGTGGCAGCTAAGGGTTACTCATGTGGAATGTGGTAGGAGAATGTGAGGGAATAGTGGTTGCCTAAGCAGTGATGGCAGCTTTTTCCTACTGAGGGATTTTATTATTTTTTTAAACAAATGGGGTTGGACAGATCTGTTTGGCCTTTGTGAGGCCAGGTTGCAGGATAGGATATGGCCAGAGGGTTAATAGAATAATACTCTTGGGAACAGCCAGCAGTAGGTACTTTGTCAACTGATGTCTGTTCCCTTGAAGCAGTTTTGACCTCTGTTCAGCTTTGCTCTGTCTAGCTGGCCATCCTGGATTTAAAGGACCATCTATGGCTTCTGACCAGGCTGTCACTTTATCACAGTCCTCTGGCAAGGGCATCTTCTGTCACTCTCCTGTTGTAAACCATTGTGGATTCTCCCAGACACAGCTTAGATTCCTAGTTTTTTAGTGTTGGCCTTCTGTAACTGTTCCCTAGCTATCTCTGTTCCCTTGTCTCTTATTCTCCACAATCCTCATACTTTTCTTTCTAGTCATACCAAGCAGTACATGCTGTTCTCTGGACCAGCCCCTCTTGTCTATATGATGAACTTGAATCTCAGCTTTAAAACCCTGCTCAAGTGTCAACATTGTGTGGAGGGGTTCTGTAATATATGTTGAATTTGATGGTACTTATTAGAATCTAAATAATGGCTATCATTAATGAAGTGTTTATTGTGAGCCTATATTGGATTGTAAGGAGTTGGTAGATAACACTCTTTCCTGCTCACATTTGGAGCCTATTGTGAGAAAGGCACAGAGAAGTGAGTATTGGAGATCAGAAACTATTGGCCTGAAAGATAAAGGCTAAATTGGGGGACAGGATTAATTATGAGGCTAAGTGGTCTTAATATTCTTCTGGTCCAAACCTGCCTCCGGATCTCTAGGCTTTCCCCACTGGGGAATGCTTCCCTTGTGTCAGCCTAGAGTGACTGAGAGGGAGGTGCCAAGCCACACATGTCCTGTCCCTTCTCCCAGACTCGCCAATTAGTTACTTGACCCCTGTCCCCTAGAAAGCGTTGAGGATGGGGAGGAAGGGAGAAAGGCTGGAGTGTTACACTAATGGAAATTTTGTCACATGGAAACATGAAAAGTGAGAAATTAGTATCCTCCCATCCCAGCACTAGGCACTGAGTTAAGTGTTCTACACAGATAATCTATTATTAGTGAGATAACAGAATAGATTGATCTGTGCAGAATGCTTAACCTGGTGCCCACTGTTTTCATTCCCAGAGGAATAAAAGCAGAGAATATGGTCTGAATTCACTGAAGCACTTCCACTCACCCGCTTTGCATCTCTCACCCTTCAGCATTACCCACTGGTCACAGATGTCTTATTTCATAGATTTGCAATGTTTAAGTATTTGTATTTTGCAGAAAACGGTCAGGTTCTATCATGTGGATCCAACTCCTTTGGCCAGTTAGGAGTTCCTCATGGACCTCGAAGATGTGTGGTTCCCCAGGCCATTGAGGTGAGGAAAGTTAATATTTAGCTTGTCCATGACCTTTTAAAGTGTCTCCAAGGTGTTACTTTATCCCTTCCCAGAATAAAAGGCTGTCAGGATCCCTGAAAACCCATGGGGTAGGAGAATTTGAGTTGAAAAATAGGTCCTTTTGGGAAAAATTAAGTTGGGAGGTAGACGTTGTGAATGAAAACCTCTGTTAGTTTTCATATATTTTATAAAGTTTTTTGAAATAAAACAATAAAAGTAATACATCTCATAAGGATATTAATGACATTTTACAGTTATAAAATTAGTAATAATGGAATTTATGTTAGAAATAGGTTCAGATAGAAGTGATTTGTCAAAAGACACTAAGCTAGGCAAGTGGTATAGGCCAGTGCTATCCAGTAGAAATATAATGTGAGCCATATGTAATTTAAAATTTTCTAGTAGCCCTGTTTAAAAAAGAAACAGGTGAAATTGATTTCTAAAATAACAGCACTAGTGAGTTATAATTCTCATACCATAAAATTAACCCCTTTAAAATGTATAATTCAGTGGTTTTTAGTATATCCACAGAGATGAGCAACCAATATCATTATCTTATTTTAGAACATTTTCATGACCACCAAAATGAACTATGTGCTTAACAGAAGTCAATTCCTATTCTCCCCTCCCCTCAGCCCCTGGTGAGTGCTAATCTACTTTTGTCTCTGTGGATTTGCCTGTCCTGGACATTTCATAGAAATGAAATCATAAAATAGGTGACCTGGCTTCTTTTATCTCGCTTGATGCTTTCAAGTTTTGTCCATGTTGTAGCATGTAGTTGAAATTAATTTTAATAACTTTTAAATTAATGCAGTGTATTTACACTATTATCATTTCAGCATGTCGTCAGTATAAGAGTTATTAACAAGATATTTTGTGCTGATTTTGTAGTAAGTCTTTGAACTCTGGTGTGCATTTTTTACCCACAATATGTCTTAGTTTAGTGAATCTCATTTCAAGTGCTCAAGAGCTACATGTGGCCAGTGGCTACCATACTGGACAAAACAAGAGTTAAACAGGACTCTTGGCCCTAGTTCAGAGCTGTTTACTTCAGTGCATCATGGTTAAAATGTACCCCTTTTTGTGAAGTTTGTATTGTAAGTGATCATAATAGGAATATAGAATTTTTAAAGAAATATGCTTGAATCAAAAATGAGTTTTACCACCTAAGCTGCCCCACTCCTATCTAATTTCCCTAAACTCTGATTACTAGTGGGAGATCTTTTTTCCTGCAGAAATCTTGGGTCTGCTCCTGCCATCTTGCTGAACTCAGTTACTGGTCTGGGGACGGTTGTTTGGGGTCATGGTTCCCATGCTATGCACACAAGTCTAGGCTCTGTAGTTCCTGAAGGAAGTGTTATAGCTCCCAATTGCAAATAGATGGCCTTGTAAGAACCTACATATAAGTTATAATTAATTTAGCTTAATTATACTTTATATAATTAAAGAATAGAGTAACAATATGTTGGATGACAGAATCAGAAAGTAAAAACATTTTGACAGATGATATTCTGTGCAATAATAGGAGCAATGTGCCAAAGTGAAATTTAATAGCAATTCATTCATCTATTTAATGGCAACCATTATGTGTAGGTACTATGTTTAGACATTGGGAGCAAAGTTGAGTAAGACCTGTCCTAGCATTTGAGAGTTTTATTAGTTTGGTAGTATGTGATAGGCACATAAATATTTAAATGTAATACCATGTCAGAATGATGATAGATGCATGTATATCCCCAAATGAGGGAGTTTTGAGCATCTAGGGGAAGGTGGGACGAGAACAGTTTACAACTGTCTTGGGCTAGGAGGATGCACAGAGTGGGTGCAAAAGAAAAACATTCTAGGCAAAAGGAACCACGTAAGCAAAGGTGGAGAAGTATAAAACAGGAGAATTTCGGATATTGTGAGTAATTTAGTATTGCTGGAATATAAGGAAGAGGTGGGAGTTCCAGGGTAGAGTGGGTGGGAATCGGGCAATCAGGGTGATTGTATCTGACACATGGTAAGAACAGCATGGTAGGGAAGTCGGATAGGGTAGTGGAAGATGGATTGAAGGAAGATTACTTAGGAAACTCTTGCTAACAATCCACATGAGATAACTGTGGCCCAAACTAAAGCAGCAACAGTTGGGATGGAGAGTAAGAGATGGAGGTGAGTGATGTTGAAGAGAAGTCACATATAAAGCCCTTCAGTTAGTTTTTGGGAGAAAAAACAAAAGACAAATTTAAAGGATGATATGTTCAAATTGTATTAACAAAAAGATTTGATCTTCCCAAAAGCTAATTTGATTGTGGACTCCATTGACAAAAGTATAGTTTCCAGAAGAAGGAAGGCCAGAGCTCAGTCAGCCTGCATCTGGGATGCTGTGTTTTGTTGTGCATTTGATGCTTAGGCCCTGGGCATAAAGGTATATAAGACTCAGATCCTGCCCTTGAGGGTCCTAAAGTTTAGAAAGACACTGTGGACCTGTAAACAAAAAAATGTGATAAGCCCTAATGGGGTTATGATGGTGCTATACAGTTCCTTTAAAAGAGAAAGATTGAAAAACTAGAGCAGGCGTCCCCAAACTACGGCCCCGCAGGCCCCATGCGGCCCCCTGAGGCCATTTATCCGGCCCCCCCGCCGCACTTCAGGAAGGTGCACCTCTTTCATTGGTGGTCAGTGAGAGGAGCACAGTATGTGGCGGCCCTCCAATGGTCTGAGGGACAGTGAACTGGCCCCCTGTGTAAAGGGTTTGGGGATGCCTGAACTAGAGCATATTTAGAGAAGAGAAACCGGGAGGAGAGGGACATTTGAAACCCAGTGATGGCTGATGAACTGGGGATATTTGCCTAAAGAAAAGATCTTCATTAGTTATCTATTGCTGTGTGACAAATGACCCCAAACTTAGCAGATTAAAACAGCAAACATTTGTTATGTCACAGTTTTGGAGAGTCAGGACTTCAGGAACAGCTTTAGCTGATCTCTCCTGAAGTTGCAGTTGAGATGTTAGCTGGGTCTGCATGCAATCTACATGGACCTGTAAATAAACAAACGTGATAAAGCCCTAATGGTTTCATGTTCCTTGCCATGTGGACCTTTCTATAGGACTTTTCAGACATGGCATCTGGCTTCCCCCAGGCATGATGAGAGAGCGAGAGAGAGGAGAGAGGAGAGAGGAGAGAGGAGAGAGGAGAGAGGAGAGAGGAGAGAGGAGAGAGGAGAGAGGAGAGAGGGAGAGAGAAAGGAGAGAGAGGAGAGAGAGGAGAGAGAGAGAGAGAGGGAGGGGGGAGAGAGAGAGAGAGAGAGAGAGAGAGAGAGAGATGCTAAGCAGGAAGCCTTAGTGCCTTTTTTCGCCTAGTCTCTGAGTCACTTATTGCTTCTTCATTCTCTTCATTAAAAGCATGTCACTAAGTCCAGCCCACACAGGGGGAGGGGTATTAAGCTACATCTTGAAGGGAGGAGTAGCAGAGAATTTGAGGACCTATTTTTAAAACCACTACAAGATGTCTTAGGGAGGACATGACAACTGTCTTCAAATATTTGGAAAGCATTGTCAGAAGCTGCAGGCAGATAAGTTTGTTTCCACCTAAAGAGATAAATGGAACTGTGCAAAGATGGAGCACGCACCTGGGGAAGTGGCGATCCCTGTGTCACCGGAGGTAGGTGTTTGGCAGGGGTTGGATGACCACTTGGTGGGGTATTTTTGGATGGGGATTGGACTAGATCAGGTTGGGCAACTTTGAGCCCTTAGTGAATAAAGTCTTACTGGCACACAGCAATGCTCATTCGTTGAAGAATAGTTGAAAGCTGCTTTTATGTTACAATGGCAGAGCTGAGTAGTGTGACAGAAACTGTATGGCCTATAAAATATTTACTATCTGTCCATTTACAGAAAACATTTACTAACTCTTGGACTAGATGACCTTGTAAGTGCCTCCCAGCCCTGAGAGTTGTTGTCATGTGGTATTGTGATATAGTATTTTAAAAGATATATTTTTTTCTTTTAGGGATAAATATAGAGGTATTTATGGGTGGAAGTGTTGTGGGGAGTGGTTGCTTTAAACAAGTGAGACACATAATGAGGACCATACTGCATTGCATTTGGGTATAAATTACATAAAATTTTGTAGTTGGATGGTTCTGAGATCTAAATCCTTTTCTTTACTTTGACAGCTCCATAAAGAGAAGATTGTTTGTATTGCTGCTGGACTGAGGCATGCGTTAGCTGCTACAGGTGACCATTTATGTTTTAATTTTTTAATAATTTTTAGAGATGGGGTCTCACTCTGTTGCCCAGGCTGGAGTGCAGTGGCTTGATCACAGCTTGCTGTAACCTTGAACTCCTGAGCCCATGCTGTCTGACTGCCTTAGCCTCCTGAGTAGCTAGGACTATAGGTGTATGCCACCATGCCCTGCTAACTTCTGAAGAATTTTTGTAGAGACAGAGTCTCGCTAGGTTTCCCAGGCTGGTCTTGAATTTCTGGCCTCAAGGAGTCCTCCCGTGTGGCTTTCCAAAGTGCTAGGATTACAGATGTGAGCCACTGTGCCCAGCCCATGCCCCCCTTTTTAAAATAGGTCTGTAATAAGAGGAAACTAAACTTAGGAGAAAAACTCCTTGAGGAATATTTCAAAGGGTCCTGCTGCATTGTGGTTCTGATTAAAAGGAGAACATAAGGCAGAAGTCATGTGGGAAAGACTTCTTTCTGCAGGTAGAGAAGAAGGAAATGAAGTTTTCCAGCTCTGTATGTTCCTGGTATGGTACTAGGTGCTGTTGATTTAATTACTTCGTTTAAATCTGACAACCAGGAAGTGATGCAAGTTACAATTTACATGTTAGGAAACTGAGGCACAGTTAAAGTGCCTGTGTAAGCTTACACAGGGAGTAGGGTAGAGCTGAGATCAGAGCATGGGATGGTTTGGAGCCTAAGGCTTATATTCTTCGCTAGGAATTGTGTTGCCTTCCTAATGGATTTTAATGTTTATCAATTTAAAAGCTTCAAGTGAGCTTGTCTCCTGTCCTGTGAGTGGGTGATGGGACTGAGGGGGGCAGGGAGGTAGCATGTGGGAGAACAGTGACCCTTTTATCTCTCCCCTTTTCATTTTTCTCTGCTCTTACTCCTTTTGAACTGAAGGACAGCACTAATTGGCTGTGGCAGCTGAGGCTCAAGTGCTTCGTGAGTCCAGTTGTGGAGTGGAGGAAGGAGAGAGGAGGTGAGGAAGAGCTCAGTGCCACACTGTGCTGATAGTCCTGGGCTTAGCATTCATTACGCTTAAGAAAAATTCAACTTTTTATTGTGAGCTAATTGTAGATGGACATGCAGCCTCAAAAATAGGACAGAGCCCGTGTGTTCTCTTCCCAGGTTCCCCTAATGGCATCTTGCAAAACTATAGTATGGTAACATAAAGAGGATATTAACATTGATACAGTCAAGATACAGAACAGTTTCATTGCCACAGGGATCCTTCATGTTGCCCTTTTATAGCCACATCCACTTCTACCTGCCTATATCCACATCTTAGCCCTAGGCTAAGCAGTCTTCTGTTCTCCATCTCTATGATGTTGTCATTTCAAACATGTTATATAAGTGGTTTTATATAGTATATTATCTTTTGAGGTCAGTTTTTTCCCTCAACATAATCACCTAGAGATTCATTCAAGTTGTGTGTATCACAAATTCATTCCATTCTATTGCTGAGTAGTATTCCTTGGTATGGATGTACCATAGTACTAATCTGCTAGGGCTGCCATGACAAACTGGGAGGCTTAAACAGCAATTTATTTTCTCACCATTCTGGTGGCTAAAAGTCTTAAGATTGTTGTGTTGTCAGGATTTGTTTCTTGTGAGTTTTTTTTTTTCTTCCTGGCCTGTAGGTGACCACCTTCTTGCTCTGTTCTTGCATGGCCTTTTTTGGGTGTGCCTGTGGAGAGGGAGAGATCTCTGATGTCTCTTCCTCTTCTTTTAAGGACACCAGTCCTATTAGATTAAGGCCCTAAACATATGACCCTTTTTAACTTTTATTACATTCCGTAGAGCCTATCTGCAAATCTAGTCACATTGGCATTAGGGTTTTAACACCTGAGTTTTATGAGGACATAGTTCTTCCCATGCCAACACACACACACACACACACACACACACACACACACACACACATTTAGACACACACACACACACACACACACATGTAGATGTATGTATTTTTGAGATAGGGTCCCCTCTGTCGTCTAGGCTGGCGTGCAGTGATGTGTTCATGGTTCATTGCAACCTCCACCTCCCAGGTGCAAGTGATCCTCCCACCTCAGACTTCTGGGCAGCTGGAACTACAGGTGTACACCACCATGCTTGGCTAATTTTTAAATTTTTTGTAGAAATGAGGTCTCAGTATATTGCCCAGGTTGGTCTCAAACTCCTGGTCTCAAGCAGTCTTCCCACGTCAACCTCCCAAAGTGCTGGAATTACTTCTTTCCCATTTTTTCGTTGAGTTATTTCTTTTTGTTGTTGAGTTTTAGGAGTTCTCTATATATTCTGGATATTAATCTCTTGTTAGCTATCTGAAGTCTCTTTTAATCTATAATTTCTTTTCCCTTTTTTTTCCTCTTTTTTGTTGAAGAGATTGTAAGTTTTCATTTCCACACTGTGATTTGCTCACATTGTGCTCAGTGGTCATAGCTTATTTTTACAAAACAGTCTTGTCAGTTTACAGCCTGAAAAAGGACTGCTGTTTATAGGATACTCTCAAAGGAGCAGGACTGTAATGTTGCTTTTGAGTGATGGATCCTAGTTGCACACACCTAACTATAGACCAAAAATCTAGACTTTCATCTTTGCATTTGTATGAGATTCAGAACATAGGTACATGAATAGATTCAGTGGGCATGAAAGTAAAAGGCCATTCCACTGAAATCATGGCTATTAAGAAGCTATCTTGCAGTCCTACATTTGAATTTATTTGGCAGTTAGGAACCTTTGAATTCATCTTGGTGTTGTGGAAAGGGTACTACATTAGATGTTAGGAGAGCTGAGTCCTGGCATTTCTCTACCATTACCTTCCTGTGTGGGGAGACAAATCACATCCTCTCTTCAGGGCCTCAGTTTTCTCCTCTATTAAATGTGAAAAATGGATCTGATGATCTTCAAGGTTCTTTTCTGCTATGTCTGGGGTCTGAGTTATCTTTTCAGATTAATTATGAATAAGGTGTCATTCCACTGATTTGACTCTGGAGGAGTATCCTGGAACTTTTTGTATGAAGTTATGTGGCATTGGAATTTACTTTGATGGTCTTAGTCTGTCCTGAAGACTGGATTTGTGATTGGCTAGGTGGTAATCCATGTGACCAGTTATAGGACCTCTTGAAGCAATTGAGCTTCTCCGTAACACTCACATTAATTGAGACAGAATTGGGAATTTCTCATAGCAGTGAGGTTCAAAGAGCAATCTAGTCTTATCCTGATGTGCATCTTGTCTGCTTTCTCTTCCATTCTGTTGGGAAGTGCGTGGCATCGTGTTCCAGTGGGGAACTGGTTTGGCATCACGTGGACGACGGTTGTGCCCTGGGCAGACTCTTCCACTGTTTTTCACAGCAAAGGAACCGAGCAGAGTGACAGGTGAGACCCTTATTTCTTTAGTCCTATATTTGTTCTTTGTCAGGAAGTGGAGACATAGACATGCAGAAGAGGGTTAAAGGGATTTTTGATTTTGTTATTTCTTGATCTCTCTAACTTTTTCTATTAGTTGGCCTGTTAGTCTTGCTAGCATTTTTTGTGGGCCCAGTAGAAGCAACCTTCTTTGCTGCCAGAATTTGGAGCCCATTGAGGAATAGGTGCAAGTCAGGTAGGCGGAGATTGAAATGGTAACTCTAGAACTCTTAAAACCTAGGTTGGAAGACATGATTAGGGGTTCGAAGACAGTATATCATCGTAGTGAGCTTCTAATTCTGAATCTCAGACTGAATTTACCCACCAAGCACGGGGGTAGATGCATAGAGTGGGCCCTGCTAAACTTAACACCTGACCAAGAGGATATGAGGGTGTACCCTTTCTGCAGGCAGGCATGCCCCAAAGAGGGAACCCAGGAGGACTGTGCCTCGCATGGCCAGTTCATTCTCCCAAAAAGGAAGCAGGAGTGAGTGAGGATGTAGACAGGGGGGCCAGGAGTGTTCCCATAAGGAAATCTTGCTATGTGAAGATACAAGGAGTAGGTAGTATGTGTTTTGCCCATAGGTCTGTTGGTTATTTGGTCTGTATTTTCTCCTTCCTCCCTTTCCCCCTACCCTTCTTCCTCTGTCTGTCTTTCTTTCTTTCTCTCTGCTCTCCTTTCTCCCTCTGTAGACAGCACCATGTCTCCATCTCCTACTCTTCTCCCTTTTTTTCCTTTTACTTCCTGACCCAGTTTACCAAGGCTTGGCTGGAAAAACTCATGCAGGAGACTCATAACTACTTCTTCTGTCACCTGGAACAAAGCAGGGACTTTTGAGGGTGATAGGAAGGGGTGGGGAAAGAATAGGGAAGGGTGAGTTGCAATGGGAGTGATGTAATTGAGTGTTGGGATCATTCGGATTTTTCTAAGTCCTAGAGGTGTTCTCTTTCAGCTAGGGGTGGGCTTAGCTTCCCTGAAAACCATGGGTTAAGCTGGGGATGGTACTCTGAGAAAGGAGAAGGAGACATAGGATATGGGACAGGTAGTCCACTTCATATGACATTAGAAACATGTATAATATAAACTTAGACTTCTCAGACATTTTTGTTTTCTTCATCAAGGTGTTCACTTCTCCCTTGGCCTATCCTGCCTTCTCATTTCTCTGTGCTTATGGGCAAACTGTTACCTCTGCCTGAAATGCCTTTTCTTTTGTGTTTCCTCTGGGAAAAAATTTTTCTAGGCCTAGCTCAGATACACCTTTCTCAGTAAAGACCTTTTCTTTTCTAGCCTTTACTGCATTAGCTTCACATGCATGGATGGCATAATAGATTGTGTTATTACGAATTGTCTGTATGTTTTCTCATATGCTAAAGATTATGGACTTTTAAAGGGTGGAAACTGTGTGTCATTTTGCTCTATATTTTAGCACAGGACCTGTTATTAGTAGGAAAAAATGTTTTTTATTTTATTTTATTTAAACAATCTGTTTGGCGTCTGTTTGGGTGGGGCACAGCTCAGATTCCGAGTTGGTTTGGGAAATTTTCTGATGAGACGTTAGCCTGGATCATCAACTTCTAGTCCTCAAAGTCTTTCACTTTTCGTCCTCCCATAGTCACCTCATTGCCAAAGGTTCTGGAGCTGGAACCCTGGTTGTCCCCTCCTCACCTGGCCACTAGGGGCTCAGTACTTCCTCTCTGGTGAAGGTGGGTGAAAACATCTGCTTTGTCGTGTTATCATTCCGGAGGACACTTGAAGGTGTGAGGGCCGTTTTATTAAGACAGTGATTAATTAAAAAGAAGTATCAGAAGAAAGAGTTACGGAATAAGTCTGCATCTATCTGCATGCTAGACTGCATGTCAGCACAGTCTGTCTCCACTTTTAGCAGTGTAATTAAGGAAGGAAAAGTGCTGAATTTGGAGAAAGGAGCCCAGTTCAAAATCTGGTTCTGACTGTGTGTTTTAGGAGGCTTGGGGTTATTTAAGTGCTTGCATCTGATAGCAGCTGAATGTATGAGATGTCATTGTTTCTAGACCCACTCAACCGCTAGCGTTAGGAAATAGACACACACACACAGACACACACACACACATTTTTACTTACACACACCTATATGTATTTATCTCTACTAGAAATCATGAATTTATACTGATTTTTCCAATTACTATTCAGTATTACATGATTGATTCTAGCCTTTCCTCTTTTCATGTCTATACCTTTCCTCCCCTCTTTGGGAGTGATGAATCTGGCTCCTTTATCCTGAATATATTTACTTGATTGTTCAATCCCCTGGTGTGTTACCAGGCTCCCTACAGTGCCAGCCATCTTCTTGGCCAGTGCTGCTGACTCAGGCCTGCCTTCACTGGCTGAGTCTCTCCCACACCCAGGTGGTGCTGGCTGAGAGTCCCCTCTCTGCCCATTTTGTTCTGTTATAAATGTAATTCAAAAGAAATTTTTTTCTTTTGTAGGTCTAGAGAATTCTAAAGCAGTGTGTGTTATTGCTGGCTCAGACCACTCAGCTTCATTAACGGGTAGGTACCAGCTCTGTGACAGTTTAACGTGCCATTCAGGATTCTGTATGTGACCGACTGAAGTAGAGATATTGAAATTCAGAGGGAGTGTCATAGACTTTGGAGCTAGAATTCTGACACTACCACTGGTATGCTCTTCAGCAAATTACTTTTCCTTTCTGAGACCATCTTCTTGTCTGTAAAAGACTTTGTGGGTAGTTACGGGAATTAAATAGAATACATATAAAGCATGGACAGCAAACTTAGGCTCACTTCCAGTTCATCTGAGGTTGCTTTCTTAACTACACAGTAAGGATAATAATGTCTTCCTCTTAGGGTAATGGTGGTTGTCAAATCATATAATCGACAGTAAATTTATATATAACATATATGGATAACACAGTGTATTATATAATCATGAGTTCTTTGTAGTTTTCTCGTATACCTGCGATTATGAGGGCAGAAGCTACTGTCTTATCCATCTAATCTATTTTGGTATTTTGGTGTGTATTATAACTGTCTAAGCTCTCTATCTGTGTAAACTCATTAGCTGTCTAATGTCAAAGTATTTTATCCATCTATGTCTTTCTAATCCATTGATCAATTTCCATTTATCTGTCTACTCTGTTTACCTATATATCTGTTTTATTTATCTTTCATCTTTGTGTCTTAACATCTAATCTATCTATGTATCTATATATCTAACTCTAGATATATATTTTTGTGAATCTATTTTATATTGTTATATATTTCTCTAATTTATGTATTTCTCTCTATATTTCTCTAATTTCTCTAATTCATCTCTTTGATCTGTTTTTCTATCTTAGCTTTTTTTAATCCTACGCTATATCTCTCCCTTTGGCTGTGCATTCATCCTTCCATTTGAAACACCGAGCCAATATAGTATAAACTGTCTAGTGACTTTTCCTTCCAAGGCAATGAAGCATTTTCTTGAAAGTGAGTTATCCCTTCTCTTTGGCCCACATTGCCCTGACCCCTGCTGGTAGACTGGAGACTATACATCTGAGAGATTTATAATACTGTGTTTGGTAAGACCTCACAGTTGAATGTATTCTATTTTTTAATCAAATAAGAGGGACTTCCATACTTAATGTTTTTATGTAGAAATTCACGTGTGTCCATAATATATGTAAACTAATGGCTATATGCATTCTTTGACATCAAATTTGCAATGCAGTCCAACTAAGTTATTTCAAGAGCGTAGGAGCCATAATGTGAGAGTTTAAATGCTTTGCAAATTCTGAGCTGCAGATAATTTGTTACTTAATGAATTCAAAACAACTAATAAAAAAGCATCTACTTTTAACTTGTGTCTCATATCAGGTAGATTTATATATTAAGATTTGTTAAAAGTGTTGAGTTGAAATGAATGCCAGCTATAAGGGACTCCACTGGGTATCTGGTCCCTCCCTTTCTTTTACAGAGGAAGGACTGGAGATCTTAGGGTGAGATGTCATGTGTTCATACCCCATAGTCAATGAGGGATGGAGAAGGCATTCTTTTCTGAGAATAAAAGTACACTACACTACAAGGTGTTTCTTTTTCTTTTGTTCTAATTAATTTGAAACAACTGATGTTATGTAAACCTAGAGCTTGTCTAATTGCTTGCCAACATCAACTTCTTAAAAATTCTTGTTGGTAACAAATTTATTATTTCATATGCGGGGCACTTTTATTATGGTGTCTTTTATATATAGATGTTGAATATTTTTATTAAGATATAATTTATATATAAGAAATTCACCATTTAAAGTATGCAATTTAGTAATTTTTAGTATATTCACAAAGTGAAATGGTTTTTGATGTTTCGAAAGTGAGCTAAAACTTGTGGAGATTAATAGCCCTGCTGGGCACAGTGGCTCACACCCGTAATCCCAGCACTTTGGGAAGCTGAGGCAGGTGGATCACTTGAGGTCAGGAGTTCAAGACCAGCCTGGCCAACATGGTGAAACCCCATCTCTACTAAAAAATACAAAATTAGCCTGGAGTGGTGGCATGTGCCTGTAACCCAAGCTACTTGGGAGGCTGAGGCAGAAGAATCACTTGACCCCAGCTGACGGAGGTTGCAGTCAGCTGAGATTGTGCCACTGCACTCCAGCCTGGGTGACAGAGCAAAACTCTGTCTCAGAAAAAAAAAAAAAAAAATTACTAGCCCTTTCATTCTTCACCTAGTTCAAGCTGTTACACATTGGATTTTTTTCAGTGGTCTTCAGACCTTTTCTCTGGAGTGGTTGTAGATTATGTAACTAATTGGCATTGCAGCAGAATTTAATTTTATCTGCTGCGGTAACAGCATAATGATCCTCATCTGGAAGACGGTTTGTCTTTCAAAAAGGTGGTTTAGATATACTCAGGTAAGTGAAGTCGTTTACACAGGCTTCATCATCAGTGGCATCTTTGTAGCTCACCTGTCCACTTAATGGATTGATACTTTGCTCAGGGGGCTTCTTTGCTATCTTGTAAGAGATCTTTATACTTTGCATACCCTGATGAACTTCAGGAGGTTGCCCTCTCTCTGGGAATGAAATACACCAAATTCACTTCATAGAACTGCAGAATGTCAGTGTTGCAGGGTCACCCAAGTGACAAAAAGGCTTCACTGGTTTACATTCCCTCATTTTAGAGTTGACGAAACAGATCTAGAATGTGAATGTGCCCAGTGTCAAACAGTGATCTGGTAGCAGATGGAACTTGAACTGGAGACTTCTGAACCTTAGTCTAATGCCGTTAAATGATGTTGTTTGACTTTCCATCCGTTTTTGGTTATATACTAGACTGCCCTAGGGCAAGTAATGCTATAAAGCTTTATTGGGAAGCTACAAAATGCAGTGAAAGCAGAAGACCTGGCCTCTAGTCCCTACTTGACTCCTTATTAACCATGTGATCTTGAAAAGTAATTTAACATCTTCCAGCCTTAATTAATTTATCTTCTAGAACAGTGCTAATAGTAATATAATATGAACCACAAATCAAAAAATAAAAAGAAACAGGTGGGATTAATTTTTAATAATGTATCTACTTAACCCAGTGTATCCAAAGTATTATTTCAACACGTAACCTATATGAAATTATAATGAGCCACACTCTTTTTTCATTAAGTCTTTGCAATCTACTGTGTGTTTTCACTTACAATGTATCTTAATTTGGACTAGCCACATTTCAAGTGTTTAGTAGCCACTTGTAGGTGGTGAATGCTGTATTGGATAGTGCAGTTGTAGATTCTTAGATTATAAGGGTTGGAAAAGCTGAGGAGTCATAAACTGACGAGGCATAGTCTAAATTATAGCTTATGGCCCCGTTTTGTATAGCTTTCATTTACAAAACATTTTGAATGTGAATGCCTTTTAGATAGGCATGTGCTCTCTGGTTTGCCACAGTCACCTAACAGTTATTCTTGTTACCAGTGTCTTCAGTCATATCGTCTGCCCTTCTAGACCAACTGCCTTCCCTTCCAATTTTCAGCTGTTGAAACTAAGGCTTAGAGAGGAAGTGATATGTCCAAGGTCAATAGCTAGTTACCAGATCCAGGAATAGAAGCCAGAGTCACTTGACTCTGAATTTGCTCTCTTTCTGTTAAATCACAATGTCAGTCAGTCACATTCCTGCTTATATCACAGGATTTATTGTGAGGTTAAAGCATGCTGAAGTGCTATTCAGATGTGATTCTACAGCATTATATTTTCTGCTAGTCAGAGCATGCAGTGAAATAATCTTACGTTTAAAAAATTTAAGCAGTGTATCTTTTAACTTGTTATTTTGAAAAGTTAAAGCAGTTTTTTCCAGACAAAAGTTAGTATAGCATATATTTTAAAAATGTAGAAAATAGAGAAATGTGTTTCATACACATGGTAGATGCTGAATAAATATTTGTTGAATGAAAAAATGAAAAGAAAAATAATACATTTTTATTTCTTAAACTACTAAGAACATTTGGTCTTGTTTTTTATGTATAGAATTTGAAAAAACTTATAATATGTTATTATGCCGTACATGAATTTTGGTTCCACTCAACATTGTAGTGTAAGTGTAAAACAACTTCTTTTACCCACTTATTTTTTAGACTTCTGTTATTTCTCATCATTTTGGACTAATGTTCCCTCGCCTCTTTTGTTCCCCTTCTGTGTGTTTAAGATGCTGGAGAGGTGTATGTTTGGGGAAGCAACAAGCATGGGCAACTGGCTACTGAGGCTGCTTTCCTTCCTGTGCCTCAGAAAATAGAAGCACATTGTTTCCAGAATGAAAATGTCACTGCCGTCTGGAGTGGGTGGACACACCTGGTTGCTCAGACAGGTGAGGGAGCAGCGGAGAGCTTATGGTGGGTAAGAGCAGCTGGGGGGCAGTTGCTAAGCAGCCATGGGGTTAAGGCTTTTACTGATGAAAACTTAAGGATCAGAGATGGGGATTAAGCTTGGGGTAAAGGGTTTTTACTGATGAAAACTTAAGGATCAGAGATGGGGATACTGGGATGTAGTTCTGCCATCAGCCAGATATGTGGCTTTTTCTCTCAGGGTCACAGGTTTGTACCCAAAAAGGCAAGCCTGGGTTAGGTTAACTCCTTCCAGTCATGAGGTTTTGAGAAGGGATCCATTGCAGCAAGCATCACCCAGAAATTTGCCCAGCTTATTGGGAAGTCCTTACTTTGTCATAGCTGAGGAGATGACTCTATTTGCATTTCTGTCTAAGTCTAAATTAAAAGCATCAGAAAATGTTTAGTGAAAGATAAATATCTTAAGATTGAGGCAGGAGCATTATTGTGATTCATAGCTGGCATGGTATTCTGATTTAAACTTTTATTGACCCTAGTAAACTACGTGTATTGGTTCAGACATCTCATATATTCCCTCGGATCTTTATCATGCCATACAGCTTTTGGCATCTTCATCTTTTCTTGAATCTTCATTTGTTTCTTTCCCTTGGGGCAGTTCTTTCCTGGTCTTCGTATTCTTGATTTTGTCCTCAGATCTTGTTTTTTCATGGCCTCTATTCATCTCTGCCTTCCTGCCTGCTGATTTTCACAGAGTTCCTCAGCCAATTTGAAATTCCCAAGATCTGTTATCATGTCAAAGTATTCTGAACTTCAGGGGTCCTCAGGAGTCCTCTTGCCTACCTCTGTCCTGCTTGCTAGCTGCACACACATCTCTAGACTCCCAAATACCTAGTGACTCTTATTTCAGGAGTTTCCAGTTTTTGCAGGTTTTCAGGTCAGCTTCAGCTATCCTTGGTAAGTCACACATACTATACATTTCTATACAAAAATGTAGACTTATGGGCATTCATATCTATGATGCTTTTAATTGGTCTTTTAAAACATTTCATGATCATTTTGAAATAGAGGGCTGTATAACAGAGATGTATAATAAACTTTCCATATTACTGCTTTAGAGGATGCTTTTAGGAAAGTGTGTCATTCATTAGGAGGGTCATCACTTTCCTCAAAGAGATTCAGATTGCTTGAAGATTGGGCTTATCTATGGAACCTTTTCCTAAAGAGACTCACTGAGCATAGTAGCTAGGTTTTGTATGTGTGTGTGCAATTGTTCATATCTGTCTTTTGTTTCAGACAATAAGCTCCGTGCAGGAAGCCACAAGATTACTCTTGCTCACTTCTGTATTTCAACTGCTTATTACAGAGTGTGCTTGTTGTCCTGTATTAAACTCTTTACAGTTAAAAGAGACTACACATACACAAATGCATACAGGACAGGGTCGATAGCTAGGATTTCTGACCTCTTTCCTGGGCCTTAGATGTTCATGAACAGAAAGCTTCTTTGTCTCTTTGAATTCTGGAGTCCGACCAAATAGTTTAATGTTTATTAGGCACCTATTGAGCAATGTCTTAAGCCTTGGAGAAATGGAGGAGAAAAGACATGGGCCATATCTTCCCACTAGAATATGTAGATAGGTGTAAGTCTAAGAATATAGAGATGGAAAACTTTATCATCCATCCATCTTACAAATGGTGAGGGTCTTTTCGTGTACTATACCTTGTACTAGATGTAAATCTTGCCTTTAAGGAGTCCACTGTCCACTAGGGGTGATAGATCTGTAATGAAATTTTACTACATTTCAATATGAGATGTGCAACAATAGAGCTAAGTACAACAGGCAAAAGTCGCATAGAAATTAGCGGTAGTCTTGAGTGATTGGGTATTCACAGGTAGGCGTTTCATGGTTAGTCAGTCTTCAAAGAATTGCAGTATATTAAAATACATTTAGTACCGAATGGTGGTGAATTGGTTGAATCTGTCAGCAAACCCTTTAACTAGTTAGGTAGTTGACTAATGAAAGGTATAAAGATGTTGCTTCTTTGATTTTAGCTTTGAAGCATTATAACTGATGTGATTCCCACATCTGGGCCAGCAGCCCAGCCCCTGGGATGGGAGGTTGGCACCCATGTCTCTGACACTGTCTGAGTCACCCCAGCTGCTCTGGAGCTCAGCTTCAGGTTTCTCTCTCCTTTCGAGAGCATGATTTTTTTGGTAATGTTTCAGTGATTTAATTATCTTGTTAATTCAGATTGCATGTTTTTGTACATTGCCACTTTCTCCTTTATCCTAAGTCCAGAGTGGTTAAATCTGGGATATTTGAGTGTCCTTGTTTTTGTACTGAATTTTGGGTAAATGAGAGTTTCCTGTTATTTGATTCACCAGTTTTGTGTTCCTTCTAGCAGCGGTGGAAGCCTGTGCTCTGGCACAGTGTCATTGAGAAGAAACACCCAGGGCTTCTATTTAATCAGACTCAGCTGCTCACATTAATGGGCATAAGATTTTTCTCACAGGGTCAGAAGCAGCTCATTAGTGGAACAAGGAGTTATTTGACTCTAGTTGTTTTCACAAGCTCCAGTGGTGAATTGTTCCTGGGATGTACTTGCAGGCCACATCAGTCCAGAGGCTGCTCTCAGTCTCATTCTAGGAGGCATTAGTTGTGTGATATTAATTTAAAAAAGAGTTTATGCGCAGATACTACTGGCATCTATTGGGCAGAGGCCAGGGATGCTGTTAAACGTCCTACAATGCAAGAGCAGCGCCCTATAACAAAGATTAACAAATGTGATATAGTGTCACTATAGCAAATGTTAATAGTGTCAAGATTGAGAAACGCTGCTCAATACTGGACATCCCCAGTGGTAGGTGCTTAGCTAGGGCAGTTCACATGGTATCAGAATAACTTTACAGATTGTCTGTATGGAAATTTGGGATGTGTTCTCTGCCCTCTCCTCTCAGGAGTCTGATGCCTGCCTGCAGTGTTTGTGATGGAAAAATACTTTTCTCTGTTAGTCAGAGGCACTTGGAAGGAGTCCAAGAGAACCTGTTCTAATCTGGGAGAGTTGGCAAGGGTACCTGTGTCTCAGGCTTGTGGTGCTGCATTCTAGAAACCTTTCCCAAGCTGCTTAATGTCCCTGATCATTGTTCTCAGGAACTTCATGGGACTCCTGGGTGACTTTATCCAGGCTCAGTGACCTGCAGCTGTCTCATCTGAGATTCATGGTTTCCTGACTGGAGGTGCTTCTGGTGAGAGTTGGATCTGGGTGCCTTCCTAGTTTGGTGACCTTGATTAAGTCACTTTACCTGTCTAGGCCTCAGTTTCCTCAACCCTGAAGTCTGATATTAAAACCTGCCTGCATTCTACACGGGGCTGCTGTGATGTTCAAATGAATGAATCTGTGAAAGATCCCAACTATTTTAAATACATATATAAGTGATGATTGCCTGAGATTGAGTTATGTAAGTAAATTAAAGAGTTATTAGTTGCTTTTAGAAAGACTTCTATTTCCACAGGGTTAATGCGACCTTGAGACTACTAGCCTCAAAGCTCATGAGCTGGCCAGGGATGCCATACTCAATATCAAACTCTGACAAGCAAAGTTTCCTAAAGTCTTTTACTTGCATGCAATAGGCAAGTGGCTTTTTCGTATTATCAACAGTTTGGAAGATTTTTGTAGTTTAATTGGTAATATTACCTACTAAAATTCATGGTACTCATCCCAATTTGTAATTGTATACATCTCTTTATATTCTTATTTGTTTAATGTCTAGACTGTAAATTACACAAGAGCAGTATCTGTTTTGTTCATGGCCATATCCTCAGCATCTGGCACAGGCCTGGTACATAACAGATGGTCATTAACTAAATGCTGAATGAATAAATAAATGGCAAAGTAGAGAAAAACCTGGGCTTTGAAGTCAAATAGGCCAAAGCTTGAATCTTAGTTCTGTTAACCTACTGACTGTGTGACTGTGGGCAGCTCCACCTCTCTCTGTCTCCTTTGTCGCCACCATAGTTCAGCCCGTTGTCACCTCTTAACTGAAGGCTGCAGTAGCCTCTAACTGGTGTTCTGGTCTTCCCATATTTACCCCTTGATATAATTTGGATGCGTGTCCCCACCCAAATCTCATATTGAAATGTAATCCCCAGTGTTGGAGGTGGGGCCTGGTGGGAGGTGATTGGATCATGATGTAACAGATGGTCCGTAACTAAGGGCTGAATGAATAAATAAAGGGCACAGTAGAGAAAAACCTGGGCTTTGAAGTCAGATAGACCAAGGCTTGAATCTTAGCTCTGTTGACCTACTGATTGTGGGTAGATGTCTCATGAATAGTTTAGTACAATTCTTCTTGGTACTGTCCTTGCCACTATGAGAGAGTTCTCATGAGATCTGATTGTTTAAAAGTGTGTAGCATTTCCCCCCTCACTGTCTTGCTTCTGCTCTTGCCAGATGGTATGCATGCTCCCACTTCCCCTTCCACCATGATTGTATGCTTCCAGAGGTCTCCCCAGAAGCTAATGCTGGAGCTGTGCTTCCTGTACAGCCTACAGAACCATAAGCCAATTAAACTTCTTCCCTTTATCAATTACCCCGTCTTAACTGTTCTTTATAGCAATGTGAGAATGGACTAATACACTCCCTCTCCCTTCCAACCCATTCTCCACACTGCAGTTGAAAGATCTTTTCAAACCCAGTTTGTCACATTCAGATGGCTTCCTGTTGCTCTTATGATACAAATATAATCCTTAGTGGTCCTATAGGTCCTGTGTGATCTGCTCTCTGCTCACCTTTCCAGTCCAATTTCTCACCATGCTGGTTCTTGATCCCTATCCGATGTGCACTCAGGCCTTTGCTTGGTCCCTTGAAGGTATCATTCATTTCTATTTCCTCTATTTGGCCACTCTTCATTTTGACTTAGTTAAATCCTTTTTTTTTTTTTTTTTTTAAATCTTAACCCTCAACTTAGGCCTCTCCTCCTCTCCTCCTCAATGTCTCTTGACATTGCTGACTAGCTACTTTTCCC